TTACAGGCACGTGCCACCATGCCCAGCTAATTTTTTTGTATCTTTAGTAGAGACGGGGTTTCACCAGGTTGACCAGGATGGTCTCGATCTCTTGACCTCGTGATCCACCCGCCTCGGCCTCCCAAAGTGCTGGGATTACAGGCTTGAGCCACCGCGCCCGGCTGCTACATAAATTAATTCACATTCATTCCTTTTAGATGGCACCATGTCAGCATCTCTCCTCCCTGAATGTCCTTGTCCCTCATTATGCATTCTTGTTTACCACCATGTTCACTATGCTGCATCATCCAGCACCTGTCCCTGTAGTCATTCCTTTTGGGGAGAGTCGTTTCCATGGTGATACAGGAGCATTTCACTACTTAGCAGGCCTCTCAGAAAGCTCTTTGCAGCATGCTTCTATTTCTAGTGTAATTAAAACTCCAACACACATGGAACTTTCCATTCCTATCCTGGAAAGCATTCTCAATCAGTACAGCTAGTGATGTGATTTGCCTGGTGCTTTTCAGCAGTTCTGTAGGCAGGTTTATTTAAACAGACCTCTTTTGATGGACATTTAGTATGTTCTTTTTTTTTTTTTTTTTTTTTTTGAGACGGAGTTTCGCTCTTGTTACCCAGGCTGGAGTGCAATGGCGCGATCTCGGCTCACCACAACCTCCGCCTCCTGGGCTCAGGCAATTCTCCTGCCTCAGCCTCCTAAGTAGCTGGGATTACAGGCACGCGCCACCACGCCCAGCTAGTTTTTTGTATTTTTAGTAGAGACAGGGTTTCACCATGTTGACCAGGATGGTCTCGATCTCTCGACCTCGTGATCCACCCGCCTCGGCCTCCCAAAGTGCTGGGATTACAGGCTTGAGCTACCGCGCCCGGCCCATTTAGTATGTTCTAAAGCTTTGCCTTTTTAGTCAGTCACTCAAAATATTTATGGAGGGTCTATTCTACTCCAGACACTGTTTTAGTCACTTGGCATACAGTGATTCAACCCTGGGTTCCTAGTTTTATTACCCCACCTATTGTTTATGTTGTTGTGAAGAGTGTCAAAGATCTTGATTTTGCTTGCTGCTCTCTAGCTACTGACTTTGCAGTCCACTGATGTGAAACAGGTATAGAAAAAAAAAAAAAGTGGTAGGGTGCAGTGAGAGGCCAAGGTAAGAGGATCCAGGAGTCTGAGACCATGCTGGACAACATAATGAAACCCTTGTCTCTACAGAAAATGTAAGAATTAGCTGGGCATGGTGGCATGTGCCTGTAGACCCAGCTACTTGTGAGACTGAAGTAGGAGGATGGTTCAAACCAGCAAGTCAAGGCTGCAGTGAGCTGTGGTTGCACCACTGCACTCCAGCCTGGGTGACAGAGCCAGATCTTATCTCAAAAAAAAAAATTACAGAAACCAACATTACCTCCTTGTTTGGTAAATAAAAGGGAAAGACCACACACACACACACACACACACACACACACACACACCCTATCTAGGCATTTGGAGTGTTGGACAAACTTGTACTACTGAGGAGTTGGGCACTGCATCCCAAGAGTGCTGACCCATTCCCGAGTCTATCAGCCTCTTTGGGAACAGGAAGTTGGAAGTGGGCAATCACTGAGTTGCTCAGATAACCTTCATTTGCATCTCACTCAGATTTCTGTAATAGGCCAATGTTCCTCTTCATTATTATTTCTTATTCCAGAGTGTGTCATTGCCTATGGTTTGTGAGTTTACCTCCTGCTTTGCAAAAGGAAAGCTCTAGAACTTCCTCATTGATATAATGCTCAGAACATCTTCTTGCTATACCATCAGCATTCCTGAGTAAATACAAGTTCAGTTTGAAAAGAAAAATCTGCCTGGTTATTCGTCAGATTATATACAAATACAAATAAAGATAACTGCAAAGTTAACAAGAAACTATTGCTGCCAAGGACATGCTTAATCTAGAGTGTCATAATAACCCTCTTTGAGTGACTACGGCTTTCTCACTTTCTCACTGAGAAATGCTGTTCTCTAAAATCAAAGACCCTCAGAAACTTGCTGTTTGAAATTTTGTCAGTAAGAATAAAACAGCTTGCTTGGAGGGTCTAAGTCACTTTAACACAGAGACATAGCTTCAATTTACAAGCCAGTTGCAAAGGTGCAGAAAAGAGGTTTTCAAAGAAACAGGACCATGGGTCCACTCTGCAGACTAGGCCTGATGCTGACCCTTTTTCACAGTCCTGCTTTGCTCTGAGGCTATTAAAACTCTGCTTTATTGAAGTTCCATCTAAACTTTACAATTCCTCAAAATCCTGTAACTTTATCTTTTCCTTCCTTTGGCAAAATGCCCCCGTGGTGTCGCTGGTGTGCAATCTCCCTCGTTAAAAAAGTTCGACAAACCTGGTTTTGTTGACTACAGGTTTGTCCCTGGTGGTCTTAGGCTGACTGGGCTTGAACAGTCTCTTCAGGATGCCTCAGACTGCAAATTTCAAAAACAGAAACAGCAAACATCTGTCACTCCTAAATATAAATGCACCTGTCCACGTTGCCAGGTAGTTATGCACATGGCTACTACGTCAATTTGGTCAAACTAGGGTTGGTTCACATCTCGGGAGGGTTATAGGAACAAGAAAGTCAGGGTTCTGCACAGCTTTTAGTTCGATTCCTGCACTGGCTTAGATTTCTTTTTCTTTGGGGCTTCAGGTAAATACTTTGGCTGCTAAATTGACGCCCCCATCCCCAGTGCCTGAACAACGACAACAAAAAAGCCAAGACACAACTAGTCAGCTGAAGCTGACAGAAATACAGGGGTCAATCTGGTTACAGGTAGGCAGTCCTGGCTACGTCGACACCGCAGAGACCGTGGGACAAATGGACGTGCTACTGCTGTCCCTCGCATCCCCCATCTGGGCCCCGGCACCAGTGCCCCAGGTGTACGCCCCACAGCGAGAACCCGAGGCTCGACGCCCTCCCAGCCCTTCACATCCGCAAGAAGAGGGGCGCGGATTCAGGGGACGGGCGACGGCTTACAGGACAGCTCGCACACAGCACCAGCCATCTCCTAAGCCTGAGCGCCTCCACATTTAAGAGCGGATCGCGCTCCTCGGTGACTGCACGTCCGCCTGCACCCTAGTAGGGCCGCAAACTACTGAGCGCGTCCAAAACGCCATATTTGTGCCTGACGTCATGCTCATGCTGCCCTTCCTGTGACTGAAGAACCAACCGGTTGGGTGTAGCAGACGGGATGTGGTTCTTCAGGTAGAGACCGAAGTAGCTGAGAGCGGACTCGGGGCGCCATCTTGATTCCTGGCATTACCCTCAACGTGCCCTCCCTCTCGGTGATTGGACGAGCAGGGCGGGCCTTCCGGAGGCACACAACCGGAAAGGCTTGAAATACATCTGGGAACTGTCCCATGACCTTAATCAAGAGATAAAAGGTAACATCTCTCTACATTGGCATGGGTAAAATCTAAAAAATAGAATATCACCACGATATTGGGAACCCGCGTGTGATGGTGTGTCCCTGTAGCCCCAGCTATTCCGGAGGCTGAGGCAGAACTGCTTGAGCCCCTGAGTTCAAGGCTGTAGTGGGCCCCAATCAGACCTGTGAATAGCCACTGCCCTCCAGCCTGGGCAACAGAGCCAGACCCTATCTCTTTTAAAAAGGCATGGCCTGGTGCAGTGGCTCACACCTGTAATCTCAGCACTTCGGGAGGCTGAGGCAGGTGGTTTATGAGGTCAAGAGATCGAGACCATCCTGGCCAACATGGTGAAACCCCGTCTCCACTAAAAATACAAAAATTAGCTGGGTGTGGTAGTGCACACCTGTAGTCCCAGCTACTCGGGAGGCCGAGGCAGGAGAATCGCTTGAACTTGGGAGGTCGAGGTTGCAGTGAGCTGAGATCACCACTGCATTCCAGCCTGGGTGACAGAGCAAGAATCTGTCTCAAAAAATTAAATTAAATAGAATGTGTGTGTGTGTGTGTGTGTGTGTGTGTGTGTGTTTAGATAGGTGTGTTCTGATGTGATGCACAAAGGACATAGCATTTCTACCAAAAATTCACTATTTTAATCGAATGAGGAAAACTCCAACAAACCCATGTTACAAATTTAATGGTTAAATCTACAACTATCAGTTATAACACTAGAGATCTGATAATTAAATGCAATTGTAATCCTCCATTAGATCAAGAATCTGGAAAAAAGGTTTTTTTCCCGTTTGCTAAAAAGAACATAAGAGGGACAACTGATAATTTGAATAAGGACTGCAGGTTAGATAAGTAGATTTCCTACTTTTGATAAGTCTATTGATGATGTAAGAGAATCTCTGTTGTTTGGAAATACCAATTTTAAGAATGTATAGATAGGCTGGGCATGGTGGCTTACGCCAGTAATCCCAGCACTTTGGGAGGTCGAGGCAGGAGGATCGTCTTTGCCCATAAGTTAGAGTCTGCAGGGAACCGCCACTGCACTGCAGCCTGGGCGACTGGGCGAGACCGTCTCTGAAAAAGAATGTAGAGATAAAGGGACATCATGTCTGCAATTTTCTCTCAAATGGTAGAATGACAGAGCAAATGCAAAATGTGACATTTGTAGAATCTAGAAGGACTTATGGAAATTATTTGTAGTAGTTTAGCAATATATTTATAAGTGTGAATTACTTTAAAAGGCTAACAAAGTTACTGAGATCAATTAAGAATGTGAGGAGCCAACAGACCTAGTACTAAGCTATGAATAACCAACATTTAAATAAAACTCCGGGAAAGAAAAAGGAAGTCAAATGGCATGCGATCAACGGAAGACATAGCTTCCGTACTCTTAATCCTAAATTACTAAGAGGTGACGTTCCTGCAGCTCTCCAATCCAAATCACCAAAAACAATCTCGCCGCCCAACTCGACGAAAAGGCAATTTAGCTCCAGCCGGCTCCGCCATGTTTTCCTAGCGAGCTTGCGTGCGCAAACGCACGCACGCACACACGCACGCACGCACACACGCACCAACCAATCGGTGCTCACGTCAGTGCCTCGTTACCGCAGGGGCGGTGCATTCTTCTACGCATGCGCACGGTTGCGTAGGCCTTCTTCCTTCTCGCCTGACGCCGCCACCATGGTAAGTCTTACTCTTGCGGGCTCCGGGGATGGCTATCTTTTCTCTGTCCCTCCGCCTCCGCTGGGAAGCTTAGGCGCCGAACGGCTCCCGGAGGGTCCTGGGAAGCACATGGTGAGGGTCCCTGGGCCGGCTGTGCCCCGGAATCGGGCACTTCCCGGACTTAGGGCTGACGAGCGCGTGGAGGACCCGGCAGGCCTGGCGCTCCTCGGGCCCCGCGTGCGCGCGTCGGCCGCTGGAGCTGGACGGCTGAGGCTGCCCGTGGTCCGAGGGCCTTGTCCCGCCGTCCCGGCCTTGCGGAGCTGGGAGCTGGCAGGCGGTGGCTACGGGAGCCGGGCTTTAGTTACGGCGGCGCCCGCCGATTTCGTCCATTGATGGTGGCGCCTGGCTCTCGCGCGTGTGTTCCCTGCAGCATTCTTTTTCGCCGAATTTAACCATGTCGTCTCTAGCTGCAGAAAGTGACACGTAAACTAGCGAGTATTTTTAGGTAAGTCTCACTGTCCTTTCTCCCCAAATTTTAGGTGTTCAGGCGCTTCGTGGAGGTTGGCCGGGTGGCCTACGTCTCCTTTGGACCTCATGCCGGAAAATTAGTCGCGATTGTAGATGTTATTGATCAGAACAGGGTAAGTGTCACAGCTTTTTACTAAACATGGCAGTGGACGTGTGCACTGCAGATGGCAACCATAATTGTCTCGATGGCTGTGTAAGGGAAGTATGCTATGGGTAGTAACTTCATTTTACCATTGAGGAAACAGGCAATGTAGGGTAAGGGTTTTAAGCACAGCCTCAAGTTAGCTATTCATATTGAATTTTAGTATTATCCCAGCCACTTAAGCTAGAGCCAGTTATGGGCTGAAACGTTGGTTAGGTTTAAATGAGTTACTAGATCACGTAAAGTGAGTTTAGAACAGATCCAGCGCATACAAAGCACGTGACTCAAATAGAGTAATTATTGTCTTTTCTAAGCAGTTTATTTAAATAGTAGTGTGGGTTTGATGACCCTGAACAGATAAGTAATTGTACAGAACCATCTGACCATTTTAATTGCTATTAGATTTTGCACTGAAGTTCTTGATGTTGGCGTTCTAGGCTTTGGTTGATGGACCTTGCACTCAGGTGAGGAGACAGGCCATGCCTTTCAAGTGCATGCAGCTCACTGATTTCATCCTCAAGTTTCCACACAGGTAACTATTCACCAATCATCACCCCTTCCTAGCATCCCCAGATATGTTTATACTAGTAAAAACTTTGTTTTAGAGTAAACGGTATGAAAGATTCAGAGCCATCCTGAAGAGGGTTTTACATCGTAGAAGTAGACAGAGGTTATTTACTTTTAAAATGTCCTGGGCATGCACACCTTTAATCCTAATACTTTGGGAGGGAGGCTACGGTGGGAGGATCTCGAGCTCAAGAGTTAAAGGCCAGCCTGGGCAACATGATGAACCCCCCCCATCCCTGCAAAAAATACAAAAAAATTAATTGGGCATTTGGCACTCACCTGTAATCCCCAGCATGGGAGTGGGGGCAGGGGTGTGCTGAGTTGGGAGGGTGGCTTGAGCAAGATTGAGTCTGCAGAGAGTCCTGATCATGTCACTACACTCCAGCTTGGATAACAGTGAGACCCTGTCCCAAAAAAAATAAAATGTCCTAAGGTCACCTCTCTACCTTGATAATTTAGGGCTTTGCCTCTGTTCAGACTTGCCATCCTCCTTTCTTATGGTCTCTGCCAAACGTTTAGCTTAAAGTAAACAAAAATACAACATCATTAGGTAAGCTCTTAGTGTGTGTCAGTTGTACAGTATTTTACATGAGAGGCTGTATCCCTGGCTTACATTCAAATGAGGCAGCGAGTAGCGTAGCCGTTCTTTTTTGACTTATAAATTAAACCACTTTAGTGGTTGCTATACAGTTAATTCAACCCACAATGATGGTTGCGGTGGAACGTGTACTGAACGTGTCCTATCACATGGCCATTACAGATAAAGTAGATATAATGTAATTTTGCATGCTTTAAAATAGTCAAAAACTTGTATGCTGAGCACTACAGACACTGTCTGATGTATATTAACACATAATGGACTTTCAGGGACTGGGGGTTCGAAAGCATGCCACTTGAACAACCTGAAGTGATCATGGCCATGCTGCTGCTATGACATACCACTTGTTTGAAAGCACAATTGGGGTGAAGCTTGAGGATACATCAAAGTTCAAAGCAGTAGAAAATACCTGGTAACTTAGATTTTCACTGGGTACTCTTGTAATTCTGCCTTGGATCCCTGGACACCCTGGATTTTATTTTTAGGATGTTTGGCCATAAATTGTTACTGTAAAATTAAAAAATTAATTACCTTCTTAGGAGAATGAATGGGTTGGCTGGGTGTAGTGGCTCATACCTGTAATCTCAGCACTCTGGGAGGCCAAGGCTGGTAGATCACTTGAGGACAGGAATTAAGGCCAGCCTGGCTAACCCCAGCTCCACTAAAAGTACAGAAATTAGCCAGGTATGATGTGCAGTCCTGTACTCCCAGCTATTTGGGTGACTTGAGACAGAATGGCTTGAACCTAGGAGGCAGAGGTCGCAGTGAGCCAATGTTGCACCAGTGCACTCTCACCTAGGTGACAGAGCAAGACCCTGTCTTTTAATAAAAAAAGAAAATGAAGGGTTTTCAACACATTCACTGCCAAAGTGGAATTAGGTATGGTTCGAAGTGGAGTGGTTTTGGTTTTGGGGGATTTTTTTTTTTTTTTTGAGAGACAGTGTCTCACTTGGATGCCCAGGCTAGAGTGCAGTGGTTCCATCTTGGCTTACTGCAACCTCTGCCTCTTGGGTTCAAGCGATTTTCCTGCCTCAGCCTCCCAAGTAGCTGGGATTACAGGCACCTGCCACCATGCCAAGCTAATTTTTGTGTTTTTAGTAGAGATGGGGTTTTGCCATGTTGGACAGGCTGGTCTCCAACTCCTGACCTCACGTGATCCACCCACCTTGGCCTGCCAAGGTGCTGGAATTACAGGGGTGAGCCACCACTCTGGGTTGAGAGGTAGTTTTTAAATTCATAAAATGGACTGGGCTGGGTGCATTGGCACACGCCTGTAATCCCAGCACTTTGGGAGGCGAAGGTGGAGGGTTGCTTGAGCCCAGGAGTTGGAGACCAGCCTGGGCAATGTGGCAAAAATTAGCTGGGTGTGGTGGTATGCACCTGTAGCCCCAGGTACTCGGAAAGCTGAGGCAGGAGGATGGCTTGAATCCAGAAGGTTGAAGCAGCAGTGAGCCATGATCACTCCACTATATTCCATCCTGAGTGGCAAAGCAAGATCCTCCCTCAAAAAAAAAAAAAAAAAAAAAAGGTGGGACGATTACAGTTTAGATTAAAATATGCTTGAAGTTACAAGCTATTCTGGCTTATGAAACAATAAAAATTTAGGTACATACTGTGCCAGATGTTGTCTTATGCAGACAAAGAAGTGTCACAGGAAGAATGGTTTTTGAGGAACAAAGGAAGTGTCCTTACTAATGAGTGACTTCAAAGCTGATTCCTGACTCTGGTCTTGGCTTGTTCTAGTGCCCGCCAGAAGTATGTCCGGCAAGCCTGGCAGAAGGCAGACATCACTACGAAATGGGCAGCCACTCGGTGGGCCAAGAAGATTGAAGCCAGAGAAAGGGTAATGTCTTAGGGGCGTTTGAATTCTGGCTTTGTCTTTTTTTTTGGAGGTTTCAAGGTATTGTGAGAGGGATAATTTTTATTTTTATTTTTTAACAGAAAGCCAAGATGACAGATTTTGATCGTTTTAAAGTTATGAAGGCAAAGAAAATGGTAAGATTTAAGATCTGTACTTTTGTGTAATTTAGCTTTAGAATAACAAGGGAACAGTAGCCGTATCTTATTCCAAGCTGCCAGCCTCTTGGGAGGTTTCTGTGAAAAGGGAGAATTTATCCTCTTTGTATTTCATGATGTTCTAATGGAATTGTTACCTTTATTTAGATTAGTTGTAGGGGAACAGACCACTTAATGGCCCTTTCTAAAACCAGCATAAGTTGAAGTTTATTTTTTGTATACACAATTAAGTGCTTTCATATATTGATAATTTTCAGAGGAACAGAATAATCAAGAATGAAGTTAAGAAGCTTCAAAAGGCAGCTCTCCTGAAAGCTTCTCCCAAAAAAGCACCTGCTGCTAAGGGTGCTGCTGCAGCTGCTGCTAAAGTCCCAGCAAAAAAGATGACCACCGCAGGCAAGAAGGCTCCTGCCCAGAAGGTTCCTGCCCAGAAAGCCACAGGCCAGAAGGCAGCGCCTGCTCCAAAAGCTCAGAAGGGTCAAAAAGCTCCAGCCCAGAAAGCACCTGCTCCAAAGGCATCTGGCAAGAAAGCATAAGAGGCAGTTACACAAAGTAATAAAAGTTCTTTTCGATATGTTGGCAAATCTATTTAAGTCTTTGGATTGAAAGCCTGTTGCTGAGGTTGGGGTTAGGAGACAGATTGATAGTAGGATTATAATAAACATTAAATAATCAGTTCCTTAATCTCACTCTCTGCCCATACTTGGATGGATAGTGCAAAATCATTGCAAAGTCATAACTGATCGTGTCATGGGAAATCATGATTACTTTAGAACACCAAGTGGCATTTTTTTCCTTAAGGTCACTTTAGCTTCAGAACATTTTTTTCCATTGTACAAATATGTTCGCCATAAGTAGGTGAAGTGATAGCCTCTTGATGCCCAATAATCTAGCAGATTTTCTTTATTTATTATTATTATTATTTTTTTTTTTTATTTTTTTTTTTTTGAGGCAGCCTTGCTGTGTCACCCAGGCTTCTTTTGCATTTTTAGTAGTGATGGGGTTTTGCTGTGTTGGCCAGGCTGGTCTTGAACTCCTGACTTCAGGTGATCCCCCTACCTCGGCTTCCCAGTGTGCTGGGATTACAGATGTGAGCCACCACGCCTGGCCTTTTCTTTTGTTTTCTTGAGGCAGTCTTGCTCGGATGCCTAGGCTAGAGTGCAGTGGCATGATTTTGGCTCACTGCAACCTCCACTTCCTTGGTTCAAGCCATTCTCCTGCCTCAGCCTCCTGAGTAGCTGGGACTACAGGTGTGTGGCAGCATGCCCGGCCAGGTTTTGTATTTTTCGTAGAGAGAGGGTTTTACCATGTTGGCAATGCTGGTCTTGAACTCCTGAGTTCAGGTGATCCACCCACCTTGACCTCCCAAATGTTAGGAATTACAGGCGTAAGCCACCATGCCCATGCAAATTTTCTTACAAAAATAAGTTAGGAAAATAAGCATAAAAATTACACAACACAGCCCCAGGGGATTCTGAGATCGTGTGCTCAAGGTGGTCTGGCCATATCTTGGTTTCGTATGTTTTTAGGAAGATGTAAGATAACAATACGTGGAAGATGTACATTGGCTCAATCCACAAAGAGGTCCAAGCCCGGAGTGTGGAGGGACCTTCCAGGTACATAGGTTGAGCATATTTCTAATCCAAAAAGTTTCAGCGTCTGGAACTGAGCTGTGACACTGCAATTGGAAAATCCCTAGCCTACCCTCTTGGTGGATTATAGTCATTGCAGTTACACAACAGTGTCTCTGAGGAAGACATAAGGATATGTGCATAAATGGATTTCCTGTATAGACCTAGGTCCCATCCCCAAAATGTCAACATCAGAATACGTCTCATCCCAAGCATTTCAGATAAGGGATAGTCAGCCTGTATATCATAGGCTGGACTTCTGGTTCTGTCTACTACAAGATTTAGGTGATCTGGGGCAGTAAAATATCCTGGATAGATTGGAATACTACAAAGCTGTACACGAAACAGCCTCGCTGTGTCTCCCAGGCTGGAGTGCAGTGGCACCATCTGCACACTGTGACCAACTCCCAAGTTACAGCGATTCTCCTACCTCGGCCTTTTGAGTAGCTGGGTTTACATGCATGTGCCACCACAACTGGCTAGTTTTGTATTTAGAGACGAGCTTTCGTCACATCAGCCAGGCTGATCTCAAACTCCTGACCTCAGGTGATCTGCCTGCCTTGGCCTCCCAAAGTGCTGGGATTGCAGGCGTAAGTCACCACACCTAGCCAGGAATATGTTTTAAATGAAGCTCATTTTCTAACCAAAAGCTGACTTCCAAGTTTTACTGAGGTAAAGGAAAAAGCACATTGAGTTGCTTGATAATAGGCAAGTGGTATGGTGTAATAAGGAAAATACGGGCAATTTGGGATTACTTGTTCTATACTGAGAAGCGAAACCCCATCTCTACTAAATAAAACAACCAGGTGTGGTGGGTGCCTATAATCAATCCCAGCCACTTGGGAGGCCAAGGCTGGAGAATTGCTTGAACCCGGGGGGTGGAGGTTGCAGTGAGCCAAGATTGTGCCACTTCACTCCAGCCTGGGTGAAAGAGCAAAACTCCATCTCACAAAAGAAGAGAAAGATTAGCCAGGTGTGGTGGTGCGTGCCTGTACTCGAAGCTTTTCAGGAGGCTGAGGTGGGACGATTACTTGAGCCTGGGAGTTAGAGAATGTAGTAAGCCATGATGGTGCCAGTGTACTCCAGCCTGGGTGACAAAATAAGACACCCCCCCCTTTTTTTTTTTTCCTAAAAAAAAAAAACAAAAACTTAGGGGCAGCTATTCTCGAATCTGAAAAGTTAAGGGAACATAGCTAAAAGATACAGGTGCTTCTGAAGGGTTTTACAAAGCAGAACAATTCACATTCAGACTTGAATTTTAAATCATCCTGTCTGCAGTGTGGAAAGAAAGGATTTGAAGGGGTCTATACGGGAGACCAGAGAAATGGTTAGGAGGCCGACACAGTAATCCAGGGAAAAGAAGATGCAGAGGAAGAGTCAGTGATGACTACCAGATGACTGAGTGGCTTGGTTGGATGCAAACTGCTGCATTCACTGAAGTGGGGAACCCTAGAGGAGGAACGAGGGGTTGAGGGAAGGATGATGAGATTAATTTGGAACATTTCAAATTTTAGGCTCTTGTGGAATAATCAAGTAGAAATCAACAGGCAGTTTGAAATCCAGACCTCTAGCTCCAAGCTATCTGCACAATGCCTGGCCAATAGGAGGCACTATTGCCATGACTATTACTAAATCTGGACTGCAGAAAGAGATATGGGAGTGTCTTACAGGAGAGAGGCGAGATGCAAGAATGATAATGTCAGCAATAATAGCGCTTATTTTGACTTAGTTTGGTACAGAACTGGACTCTGTCCATAAAAAAAGAGTCAAACTAAAATATTTAAAGGATTTGTTCTGAGCTAAATATGAGGACCAGTGACCCACAACACAGCCCCAGGGGGTCCTGAGATCTTGCGCTCAAAGTGGTCAGGTTACAGCTTGGTTTTATATGTTTTAGGAAGATACAAGAAATCAATCAATACATGTAAGAGGTACATTGGCTCGATCCACAAAGGAGGGACAACTCCAAGTGGGGAGTGTGGGGGCACCTTCCAGGTCATAGGTGGATTCAAAGATTTCTAAATGGCACTTAGTTGACAGTTATTACTGAAAGACCTGGGATCAATAGAAGGAAATGTCTGAGTTAAGGAGTTTTAGAAACCAATGTTCTTATTATGCAGATGAAACCTCCAGGTAGCAGGTTTCAGAGAGAAACGATTGTAAATGTTTCTTATCAGACTTCAAAAGGTGCCAGACTCTTAGATGATTCTTTCCTGGATCAAGGAAAAGACCTCGAAAGTGAAGGGGATTCTTTACAGGATGTAGATTTTCACCACCAGAGACAGCTTTACAGGGCCATTTCAAAATATGTCAAAGAAATATATTTTAGGGTAAAATACTTCCATTTCTTTCAGGGCCTGCTATCTGTCCTGTGAGACTATAGAGTCAGGTTGGAATTTGGTGTCTTATTGCTATGTAGAGTTTGTTTTAGAAAGCCTCAAGATCTCTGTTTTAATGCTAATGCTGGTCTGTAGTGCCAGAATTCCAAGTCCAACCTCTCTACTTCCCATCAGATTTTCTTTGGAATGCTTTTGGCGGAGAGGAGTGGTCCGTTCAGTTAGTTGGGGGACTTAGAATTTTATTTTTGGTTTACAAAACTGTTGCATGAATTGACTCAGTTAATGCACTGAGTTTATAAATTACAAACTTTTACCATTCTCAATTGAGAAATTGAGGCAACGAGTTGAGTATGACTTGAGCAAGTCCATACAGAGTGGAGCCAGGAACGCAGACCATGAGAGTGCAGACCCCGTGGTCTTAGGTCGCAGTCATTAAGTGGGAGACAGAGGCTATAAACCATTAGGTTAAGTTAGGAATTAAGTAAATTAGGTAAGGACTTAGAAATTAAGTTAATTACGTTAGGAATTAATTGTTAAATATGGAGGAATTTATCAGGTAGTTGGGGTACCAAGACGTAAGAGAAAATGAAAAACCAGGCGCGGCCGGGCGCAGTGGCTCGCGTCTGTGAGGCCGAGGTGGATCCGCTTGAGCCCAGGAGTTCGAGACCAGCCTGCGCAACATAGCGAGATCCCCAATTTCAATAGAAAATAGCAAACAAACCAGGCGCAGAGCGGTTGTGGTGAAGGCAAGAGTAGGGTGGGAGTTTGGCCTCGGGGGAACCATAGAGAAGGGCCAGCCTCCCGGCTTCCTAGAGAGGCAGGAGGGCTCGGCTGCCGGCCCGCTGGTGCTTCCGCCTTGGCCGCCCGGCGGGCGCTCGGCCACGTTTCCCGGGCCTCCGTCTCTCGGCTGCCTGTTCTGGAGGTCGGGCGTCGGGCCCTGCAGAGGTCGCCGAGGGGCCGCGCGGCCGCCCAAGCCTGGGCCCAGCATCCCGTCCTCAGAGACGCGGTCGACCTTGCTGCTCCGAAGAGCTGGCCTGATGTCCTCGGGGCGGTATTCATGGGGAAGATGGGAGCTGTGACTGTGGGGTCCCCTGCTTCCCGGGGCGGAGCGTTCAGATCCCGGTTAGGTCTTAGGTCAGCATCACCCACTGGGACATTGAGCGTCCTACCCTTGTCACCCAGGGCCAGGTCACCACTTAATTTTGTGTGCAGCCTGTGGTTTGTTTAGGGGTCCCCATTATATCCTGCTCTCTCTCCAGAGGCTTCTTTTGGATTGCCATGATCACTAGAAGCATTCAGTACAAACTATTTAGCAATATATTCATAGTGGGGCCAAGAATATTTTTTTCTAGAGTTTCCAGTGTCACCAAGCAGATCCACAGGAGAATATGCAGAGGGAGCGTTTGCAGCATCCCATGAATCAGTGGAGAGGGTGAATGGGGGCAGCTAGTGTGCTAAGAATATCTGCAGTGCTAGTGGCAGGAGACAGAGGGAAGAGGTGGAACCACGTGTAGGAGACAAGACAGTCTCATTGCGGTTCTCTCTTAGCTCCACAGGTTCTTGCTTTTCCAAACCTAGAGGGCAGTGCATGAAGCCAGGGGTCATCAGCCATGCTCCAGACACTGTGGTTCCAGGTGAGCAGAGCTTGCTTTCTGCTTTCCATACTCAGAACAGATTTGGAAAGTCAGCACAGGCCTAGTAGCCTGACTTGGCCGGTCCCATGCTTAGTTTAACATCCTTCATAGAGTATGGCAAAAGAGTATGCGAGGGGTGTTGATGAATGAGAGTCGGTGAATTTGGGAGGGTCAGGTAGGTTGGAAAAGAAGGAATGAATTATCCTAGAAAGTGAGAGTCTGCATCCGTGAGAACTGAAAGTGTGGCCTGGAGATGAGCAGCTTTTGCGTTATAGAGGGTGCTTGATAGGCAAAATGTCTGATCTCCTGAATCAGAACCTACATTTTTACTAGATCCGGAAAATTTAGGGGCAAATTAAAATTTGAGGAGTCCTTGTCTGCGTGACGATACACAAAGAAAAGACACTTCTGAGGTCAAATAGACACTTCCAAGGGAGGAGTTTGCCCCGCAGACCATTCAGTTAAGGTACAGTGAAGGCAGAACTGGAAGCATTTGGAAGGTATGGATTGATGAGGCAGGTGTATTTTTGGAGGAATGATGAGTTTGGACCTGAAGCCAGAGACTTTAGCTCAGTGCAAAGACATCAGTCTAACTTCTGTGAGAATCCGCATCCTTTCTTGGCACAAATTCATGTAGCATTGGGAGCACTTGTCCCTCCAGAGTTTTCTTGGTGGTAGTTGATGGTTTTACTGGGTTTTTCTCCAGTGTCCTAGATTGCGTAATGAGAAAGCTGAGTTTATCAAGTAGTGGATGTATCACGTAATGAGAAAGCTCCATCCCAAGGACTGAAAAGCAATGTGTATGTCCTTCTTTTTGTGGATATTGGACCATCCACTACTGTTGGAGCACTTCGGCGAAAATTCATTTCTACAAGTCAGGAAGTGTTTAAGTATCTGGGGGTAGGCTGTGCTCTCCTGGTGCTTTGCCTGAAGTGCAGTAATCACTTAGGATTAGATTCCACAGAGAGGACCCCAAGTGACAGTGGATTAAACAACGTAAAGGCTTCTCTCTCATACAGAAGTGTCTAGAGCCAATCCAGGGCTAGTGTGGATGCTCTCAGGCTCTGTCTTTCTGCTCTACCATCCTAGCAGCATTTCATATGTTCTAGGCGACTTTATTGTTCAAAGTAGCTGCTTGATCTCTAGCCATCGTGTGTGCCTTCCAGCTAGAAGAGGAGCCGTCAAAAGAACGTGAACCTCTCTTGTAGGAACCTTCCCATAATTCCCCAACAATATTTCTACTTGGATTTCATTGGTCCCACTTTGTTGTCAGGGCTGAGTGCAACCTCAGGTAAAATTAGGGTTCCAATACTAAGAAAGAAAGGGGGCACACACACACACACACACACACACTCACCTGTCAGTCTTTGCTACAATCTCTAAGAGGAACATTGGTCACTTAGAATCTTCTAGGAAGTTCCTCCAATCTCATCTGTGGTTGTAGTAAGAGCTGAGATTTATATGATATGATGTGCCAGGTGATATCTCAGTGCTTTACAGATAATAACTTATGCCATCCTTGTAAGAGTCCTTTCAAATAGTTATTATTATTATCTCAGTTTTACAAATGGGGCAGCTGAGGCAGAGAAAGTTTTTAATTGTTTCTTCCAAGATTAACGGCTAATGAGTATTAGAGATGCAATTTGAACCTAGGGAGTCTGACTTAGAGCAGGATTTTTCAACCTTGGCAGCATTTACATTTGGGCCAGATAATTCTTTGTTTGTGTATTATAGGATGTTCAGCAATATTCCTGGCCTGCTATCTCCTGGATGCCAGTAGCACTACTGTTACCACCACACTGCAGCTGTGACAACTAAAAATGTCTCCAGACATTGCCACATACTCCCTGGGGGGTAAGATGGCCCCCATGTTGAGAACCACAGCTTTAACATCTGTGCCATTTGCCACTGTGTTGTGCTGCCTCTGTAACCCACTTCCATAGAAGGGAGTCAGCAGCCCCACTTAATGAAGAAAATGCCTGCAGGTAAAGGACAGAAGAAGAGTGACCACAGACAGAGCAGGATCTGAGTAAAGTACAGAAGAAGAGTGACCACAGACAGAGCAGGATCTGAGTAAAGGACAGAAGAAGAGTGACCACAGACAGAGCAGGATCTGAGGAAGCTAAGTGTTTCCGAAAACAAGGAACCAAAGAATGTGCTGATAATCAGAGCAGTGTTTCAGAGGCATGGAAATGTAGAGCACAGTGTGAAGAAAAAGTGAGGTCCACATTCCCAGCTGCTGCTTCTGAAGAAAGGCAGGCAAGGGTATTGACAGCTGTATCTATTCTGCACTGTCCAATAAGGTTCTCCTAGCTACATGTGCCTATTTAAATTAAAGTCAATTAAAGTTAAAAATTCAGTTCCGGCCGGGCGCGGTGGGTGGCTCAAGCCTGTAATCCCAGCACTTTGGGAGGCCGAGGCGGGTGGATCACAAGGTCAAGAGATCGAGACCATCCTGGTCAACATGGTGAAACCCTGTCTCTACTAAAGGTGCAAAAAATTAGCTGGGCATGGTGGTGCGTGCCTGTAATCCCAGCTACTCAGGAGGCTGAGCCAGGAGAATTGCCTGAACCCAGGGGGCGGAGGTTGCGGTGAGCCGAGATCACGCCATTGCACTCCAGCCTGGGTAACGAGAGAAACTCTGTCTCAAAAAAAAAAAAAAAAAAAAAAAAAAATTCAGTTCCTCAGTCATGCCGGCCACTTGAACTTCCTGGTTAAGGGGTTATCTGATTACTGTATAATTACTGTTTTCCTTTTGGAACTAATAAGCAGTCTATGAGAAGACATTTAAGATCATGCAAATATTCTGCTTCTTATCAAAATTTCCTCCTAGGTTTAGCATCCATTGATGATTTTTGCCATTGATGATCTTTACAATGAGGACTGCAAATCTTCTAATACTTTCATGTTATATTTCTTCACTCAGAAGAGACTTAAGTACAAAGGGAAGCTTGTTGACGTGATGGACTGAGAAGGACTACAGTGTGAGTCAGAGAGGTGTCATAGTGGGACTAATTTCTATAAAAGTGGTCAGCTCATTTTGACATTTTTGTTTCTGTATACAACCTTGTAATAAACACTCAAAGCGGACTCCTTTTAGTCTATTTCAAACTGCTTAATATTGCTGATTCCCATCATCTGAAAATGGAAATAATTCTTATTTCACAGATGTGCTGTAATGATTGAGCAAATTGGTTTAAAAGTGACTGACACAGGGACAAAGCTCTAAACAGCTTGTGATGGTTTCCTTCTTCCTTGAGAAGCTTGAGGTGGTTTTGGTGGGAAGCAGAAAAAGACAGACACAGTGATGAGGACAGTATTGGCCGGGCGCGGTGGCTGAAGTTTGTAACGTAATCCCAGCACTTTGAGAGGCTGAGGCGGGCAGATTGCCTGAGGTCAGGAGTTTGAGATCAGCCTGGGCAGCATGGTAAAACCCCATCTCTACTAAAAATACAAAAATTAGCTGGGCGTGGTGGCGGGCATCTGTAATCCCAGCTACTAGGGAGGCTGAGGCAGGAAAATTGCTTGAACCTGGGAGGTGAAGGTTGCAGTGAGTGGAGATGGTGCCACTGCACTCCAGGCTGGGCGATGAAACTGGACTCTGTCTCAAAAAAAAAAAAAAAAAAAAGAGGACAGCAGTGGGCACATCTCTGCAGAAGGATGGTAGATTGCCATCCTGTCCTGGAGTGAAGTGCGTTAGGAGACAAAGAAGTAACACTGCACGTCACCTTCAAGGGAGGGAGAACTATTTTTTTTTTTTTTTTTTTGAAATGGAGTTTCAGCCTTGTTTCCCAGGCTGTAGTACAATGACACAGTCTCGGCTCACTGCAACCTCTGCCTCCTGGGTTCAAGCGATTCTTCCGCCTTAGCCTCCCGAGTAGCTTGGATTATAGGCATACACTGTCACACCCAGCTAATTTTGTGTTTTCAGTAAAGGCGGGGTCTCTCCATGTTGGTCAGGCTGGTCTTGAACTCCTGACCTCAGGTGATCTGCCTGGCCCGGCCTCCCAAAGTGCTGGGATTACAGGCGTGAGCCAACATATCCAGGCAAGGGAGAATTATTAATAGCTTCTGATAAGGCAAGATGATAGAAAGGGGAGAAATGTCCAGGATGAAAGGAACCTTATCCCCGTGAAATCACTCCCCTGTCTATAGCAGAAGACGCAGAGGAGGAAGACCAGAAAGAAGCTGAGTGGAAGGCCCTGATAGGTGCTTCAGGATGGATGGAGGCAGGGTGAGAGATGGTTACCTGCTATGGCTGACTTAGAAAGCATGTCAGAAAATCTGCCTGGCCTGTGGAACCAGACATGGGTTGACGCAGCCACCAGGCAGAGAACAGCAGGTGCTGGGCTGTGTGCTTAGGATGGTAATATTAGGGCCGCAGAGGTATGCTCATGGAAAGTTGGAATGGTGACTCAGGGCTGCCCCAACTGGGGTGCTGTGTGGCTCTCCTTGCCAGTAGAAACCTTCCGTGGGGCTCAGTGCCATGGATTCCAGTAAATTTATGCCTTTCCTGGAATTCAGGCCTCTCTCTGTGTTCTTACCTAGGGCTTGAGCCGGAACATGTCGTTTCAGGAGCCAGTGACCTTTGAGGATGTGGTTGTGTACTTCACTCAGAATGAATGGACCAGCCTGCAGCCTTCTCAGAGGGCCCTGTACAGGGAGGTGATGCTGGAGAATTACGCAACTGTAACTTCCTTGTGTAAGTCCTTCTTCCTCCCTGAAACTCCCTAATCCCCAGTGCCAGGAGTAGCTGGATGGAGAAAGAGCTGGGCTCACTTAGGTGTTGGACAGCACTGTCCTCTTCTCTGATTCCTAATGGAGACTTAATTGCAAAGGGCTTTCCTCTGGGTACAGAGAGAACTGAGAAGGTTCCTGGTGCACTGCCTTCATTCCTTCCATCTTCCAGTTCCCGGGAGGTGATTTTGGCCCTATCGCCCATCTGTGAGTCCCCTAGGGCCGTCGTGTACACACCTCCAGTGACTGTGGGAGCTTTCTGTCCTCTTAGAGGCCAGAGCAAGCTTCAGGCCCTCCTTAGATTCTGCAGATTCACTCCTCTCGGATTTCACTTGGTCTCCTGGGGCATCCTCTTTTATTTTTACCTGGCAAAGCAGAGAGAGGGAGGTTACTGGGGATTCTCCTCAGCTTCCTGTTCCTTTTCTTTCTCCTCCAGCAGCATTTCCATTCTCCAAACCTGATCTGATATTCAGGCTGGAACAAGGAGAAGCAGCCTGGGGCTCAGACCCCTGGACACTTGCTGGGGAAGAAGCCCCGAGAGGCCTGTGCACAGGTGAGCAGGAAAACCCACCATCCTCCTTTCCAGCTTTGCCTCCACCTTTCTGTTAACAATTTAGCATGAAAAGGGTTCTTCTTTGTCTTGTGATGGTTGTGGGATGAAAATAGTCACTCCTATTCAGAGAAGTGTTGCTTACCAGAACTTCATCCCCAAACTAGAAAAGACCAGTCCAGCCATTTTATTTTCTGCTATTTTTCTTTGTAAAGCTAAAGGATTTCAGGCCGGGTGTAGTGGCTTACACCTATATCCTGGCACTTCAGGAGGCCAAGGTGGGAGGGTGCTTGAGGCCAAGAGTTCAAGACCAGCCTGGGCAACATAGCAAGACCCCGTCTCTACCAAAAAAACAAACAAAAAAATTAGCTGGACATGGTGGCGTGTGCATGTAGTGCCAGCTACTCAGGAGGCTGAGGCTGGAGAATCCCTTGAGCCAGGAGTTTGAGGTTGCAGTGAGCTAGGATCACACCATTCTACTCCAGCCTGGGTGACAGAGCAAGACCCTCTCTGTAATCTATCTATATATATATGTACACATATACATATCTAGATAGATATCTATCTATCTCTATATACATATATATACATACACACACATATATGTATATGTATATATTTCAAACAGACTTCTGTTGGTTGGTCAGCTCAGGAATATAAATACAATATAGTAAGAACTTGGCTTTCTTTTTTTTTTTTTTTTTTTTTTGAGACAGAGTCTCCCTCTATTGCCCAGGCTGGACTATAGTGGTGTGACCTTGGCTCACCACAACCTCTGCCTCCCGGGTTCAAGTGATTCTTCTGCCTCAGCCTCCTGAGTAGCTGGGACTTAAGGCACACGCCACCATGCCTGGCTAATTTTTGTATTTTTAGTAGAGACAGGGTTTCACCATGTTGGCCAGGCTGGTCTCAAACTCCTGACCTTGTAATCCACCTTCCTTGGCCTCCCAACATGCTGGGATTACAGTCATGAGCCACTGCACCCAGCAATGAACTTGGCTTTTGATTGATTGATTGATTGATTGATTGAGACAGAGTCTTGCTCTGTCGCCCAGGCTGGAGTGCAGTGGCACTATCTCAGCTCATTGCAAGTGATTGTCCTGCCTCAGCCTCCCAAGTAGCTGGGATTACAGGCGCCCACCAGCATGCCCGGCTAATTTTTGTAATTTTAGTAGAGACAGGGTTTCACCATTTTGCCCAGATTGGTCTTGAACTCCTGACCTCAAGTGATTGACCTGCCTCAGCCTCCCCAGTTGCTGGGATTACATGGGATTACAGGTGTGAGTGACCGTGCTCAGCTGGAAGTTTTTTTTTTTTTTTTTTTTTTTGAGATGGAGTTTCCGCTCTTGTTACCCAGGCTGGAGTGCAATGGCGCGATCTCGGCTCACCGCAACCTCCACCTCCTGGGTTCAGGCAATTCTCCTGGCTCAGCCTCCTGAGTAGCTGGGATTACAGGCATGCACCACCATGCCCAGCTAATTTTTTGTATTTTTAGTAGAGACGGGGTTTCACCATGTTGACCAGGATGGTCTCGATCTCTCGACCTCGTGATCCACCTGCCTCAGCCTCCCAAAGTGCTGGGATTACAGGCTTGAGCAACCGTGCCCGGCCGGAAGTTGTTTTTGTAAGAACATTGTGTGTGTGTGTGTGTGTGTGTGTGTGTGTGTGTTTGTGTGTGTGTGTGTATAAAACTATGTATGTAATTGGAATTTTTCTGAATTCCTAAACACTGAATTTTACATTAGCTTTTGAAAGAAAGCTTGTTTATATATTGGGGAAGAATGGTTTTCTTTTATGAAAGATACTGAGTTGAGATAAATGTAAAGACCAATCAGAGATTTGGTATATAGCCTTCCTCATTCGATTGCTCGGTTCTCATATTCTGTCGATCTTTTATGGTATTTGGAGCCTCTATAAGGCAAATGCTCCTTTCTAATTCCCCTACTTCTGCCTTAATCAGTGCCTCAAAGTGACTTCAGCATTTGAGGTCATCTAGAGGCTTTCCCGGCATCCTTCCTGTGGTCCTTAGTGTTGCCCCCTTGCCACAGGTGCACATGGTCTCTTTAGCCAGAAGAATCACATGAGCACCTCAAGTGTGCCAAGGGCAACTGAGGAACTCAGTTTTTAGTTTTATTCCATTTTAATTCATTTAAATTTAAACAGCCACATGTGGCTAGTGGCCACCTTTTGGGAAAGTGCAGCCTTAATCAATGAAAAGAGCAGCCTCAATCTGTCTTTTGTAGTTTATAGAGTAGTAAATTTCAAACTCTGGTATGTATCAGAATGACTTGCAGAGCTTGTTAAAACACAGTTGCCAGGTGCCACCTCCAGAGATTCAAATTCAGTAGACTGGGGTGGGCCTGAGAATTTGCATTTCTTTTTTTTTAAGATAGGGTCTTGTTATTTTGCCTAGGCTGGTCTCAAATTCCTGGGCTCAAGTGATTGTTCCACTTCAGCCTCCCAGTTAGGTGGGACTACTGGCACACACCACCAAACCCAGCCCCAATAATTTGCATTTCTAACAGGTTCTCAGATGATACTGGCTCAGGGACCACCATTTGAGACCACTGTTCTTGAAAATCTAGAACCATATTCTTTAAACTCTGGGTCGCAACTCATCAATAAGTTGTTACCAGCATTTAAAAATTAAATTAGACTGTACTAGCTATAAATAAAGACTAAAATACTATAAAGCCTATTGTGAATGCATCACTTTTTTTTTTTTTTTTTGAGACAGAGTCTTGCTCTGTCCCCCAGACTGGAGTGCACTGGTGTGATCTCGGCTCACTGCAATCTCTGTCTCCCAGGTTCAAGCGATTCTCATGCCTCAGCCTCCCAAGTAGCTGGGATTACAGGCACCCGTCACCACGCCTGGCTAATTTTTTGTATTTTTAGTAGAGACGAGGTTTCGCAGGGTTGGCTAGCCTGATCTTGAATTCCTGACCTCAGATGATCCGCCCACTTTGGCCTCCCAAAGTGCTGGGATTACAGACATGAGCCACCGCGCCCGGCATGAATACATCACTCTTATTAAGGACATTGTTTCTGTTTCAGGTGTGTGTGTGTGTGTGTGTGTGTGTGTGTGTGTGTGTGTTTGTCTGTATTGGTTTAGGATCTAAAATGTGAGTCATGGTCAACAAGGCTTAAAAAACATGAAAATGGAAGTTTCATTTGTCATACTTTCGGTGCTTGACAAGGCAAAGAAGGTTTCTGTGTGATGGTGCTACCAGTGAAAGCATGATCCCCGTATCCCATCTCCAACTGCCGTCTCCATTCTGGGCAGGTTCTTGGCTGGGCCTTTTTTTCTTTCAAAGGTTAGTCTCGCAGAGGACAGCACTTAGGTTCTAAAATTGTGGCCTTCTCATGAACCCTCCATAAACAACAGTGTTACAAACTGCTTTCTGTCCAGCCAGGCTTGTGATAGAGAAGTAGAGAACGTTTCTTTAAAAATTACAGAGTATTTTAAAGTATTTTGACAGGGTTTATGCCTTGATTGGGCTTTGAGGTCCTCTGTCGTAGACAGCTCCCAGACCTCTGGATACTATGTGGTGCTAGAGCTGCCTACCCATCTTTCTCTTCTCTGGTTTAGAGATCGCTTTTCTCACCTTTGACTTCCTCCGCTTTTCTTCATTGCTTCCCCTTCCTGCAGTGTCACTCCATTCCCATTTTTCTCTATCCATTTGCCTCAATCAGTATCTTCTGCCATCCACACTGTTTTTATCATTCATATGGGACGGCTTACCTTCTCCACCTCCAGTTTTTTTTTTACTTTCCCTTTGAGGTACCCTCAGGTGGCTATGTCTCTCTCAAAAAATTAATGTGTCTAGGGCAAGTTGATACTGATTCATCCCTTTCCCTTCTGGCATTCTCTTGTGTTTTCCTTTTATCATGCTAGGTGGTAAAACCAAGACTAAGACTGAGGAACAAACTGCACAGCTAAACATTTCTGAAGAATCAGAGTCCCACAGACTGATAGTGGAGGGACTGCTGATGGACATTCCCCAGCACCCTGACTTCAAGGACAGGTTAGGGAAGTCACAGCTACATGATACAGGGAAGAAAACAAACATAGGAGATTGCACAGAGTTGACAGTCCAGGATCATAAATCTTCCACCATTGAAAGGGAAGAGAGAGCCAGGAAATTGGAAGAAAGTAGTGTCAGCACACATCTCATTACAAAGCAGGACTTTGCTAAAGAACGGGTGTTTTATAAATGTGGTGAGTGTGGCAGTTACTACAACCCACATTCAGACTTTCACCAGCATCAGAGAATTCACACTAATGAAAAGCCCTACAAATGCAAAGAATGTGGGAAAACCTTCAGATATAACTCAAAACTGTCACGGCATCAGAAAATCCACACTGGAGAGAAACCATATTCATGTGAGGAATGTGGACAAGCCTTCAGTCAAAATTCCCACCTTCTTCAGCATCAGAAACTCCATGGTGGACAGAGGCCCTATGAATGTGCTGACTGTGGAAAAACCTTCAGCTACAATTCAAAACTGATTCGGCATCAGAGAATCCATACTGGGGAGAAGCCCTTTAAATGTAAGGAATGTGGGAAGGCCTTCAGGTGTAGCTATGACTGCTTCATCCATGAACGAATTCACACTGAGGAGAAGCCCTATGAATGTAAGGAGTGTGGGAAGAGTTTGAGCTCTAATACAGTGCTGATTCAGCATCAGAGAATCCACACTGGGGAGAAACCTTATGAATGTAAAGAGTGTGGCAAGGCCTTCCGCTGCAGTTCGGTGTTTCTTCAGCACCAGAGGTTCCACACTGGGGAACAACTCTACAAATGTAACGAATGTTGGAAAACTTTCAGTTGTGGCTCCCGCTTCATAGTGCATCAGAGAGTCCACACTGGGGAGAAGCCCTATGAGTGCCAGGAATGTGGGAAGACATTCAGTCAGAAGATCACTCTGGTTCAGCATCAGCGAGTTCACACTGGAGAGAAACCTTTTGAGTGTAAGGAGTGCGGGAAAGCCTTCAAATGGAATGCGAGTTTCATTCAGCATCAGAAGTGGCATACTAGGAAGAAAGTCATCGCTGGAACAGGGCCATCTGCAGTTAAGCCCTACTGCCCCTCTGCCATCCTCTCTCCTCTGCCTCTCCAACATGCCTGCCCTACCCCGGCCCCACCAGAGCCTCCCTTATCTTCTTCGCATGCAGTGATACTTCCTCCCTCTGTGCCTTTCTTCCTGCTGCTTCCCTCATCTGAAAAGGCCAGCCCTTCACCTGTCCAAATAGTACATTTCTTTCAGGATCTCGCTTTTCCTGGGAAGTCATCCCTGTGAGCCCCCTCATGTTCTCAACATCCATTGCGCCTCACATTAAGGATTCCACTGGGCTCCTGGTTGTGTCATACTGATATTCTCCTGGTCTTGTCTTGTGTAAGTTGTTATTGTTTTCCTAACTTCATTTTAAGTGCTCACACTTGAGGACCATATTTGATTAGTTTCTTTTATCCCCCGAGTAGGAAAGGGCAGTACTTCCTCTTTTTCATGTCCACACTTGGGCTGTATCATCACTCTTCATCTGTCTTCTGGGGCTACTGGAGTTGGAAGAGTTGGCAGAACATTTTGGGGTTTAGGGCACATGGCATTGTGATTATGATGAGATGGGGCATTATAGTTAGACACTAGGAGAAATGTAAGGCCTGTGGGAGAAGATAATCACTTAAAGTGTCCAATATTGCTTTCAGGATTTTTTTTTTTTAGCTGGAGTTTCACTCTTGTTGCTCAGGCTGGAGTGCAAGGGTGTAATCTCAGCTCACTGTAACCTCCGCCTCCGGGGTTCAAGCAATTCTCATGCCTCAGCCTTCCGAGTAGTTGGGACCACAGGCATGCACCACCATGCCTGGTTAATTTTGTAGTTTTAGTAGAGACAGGTTTCACCATGTTGGCCAGGCTGGCCTTAAACTCCTGACCTCAGGTGATTCACCCACCTCAGCCTCCCAAACTGCTGAGATTGCAGGTGTGAGCCACCACACCCAACCTGCTTTCAGGATTTAAGGAGGGCCATTTGGTGGACCAGTGGCAAGGCTCACTGAAAGAATTTAGGACTTGAAATTTTTTATTACCTTAATAGTAATAAAAAATTATAAGGGTCCCGTTTATGCAAAAAGAAAATGAAGTGATGAGTTGGCAGCGTGCAATAATGTAAAATTATGTCTTTGAACTTTATTGGGAGGGGATTTGGTTTTTCAGTTTGGGTTCCTTTTCTACTTTCTTTTTGCGTTTTCCTATTTTTTGAGACAGGGTCTTGCTCTGTCACTCAGGCTGGAGTGCAGTGGTGTGATCATGCACCGCTGCAGCGCTGACCCTCAGGTCTCGAGCCGTCCTCCCAGCTCACCCTCTGAGAAGCCAGGAGGCTGGGGCGGGAGGCTGGCTTGTGCCCTGGGGCATACGCCAGCACACCCGGTGAATTTCCGTATTCTTTAGAGACAGGGCTGCTCCTCAGCCTGCTGGATGTGCTGCGGTGCTCCCGCTGCTCACCGGGCCGGTCCTCCAGACCCGGTCACTTCCTGTTTCTTCTTCCATGCTCTCGCCGCTGCTTCCCCACTTCCCCTCACTCTTTGGTAGCCTCCTTCCCATCCTGAAGGGACCTGCCCCATCTCCCTCGTCACTCTATTCTTGTCACCCCACTTGTGGGAGGAAACAGCTCCTCTTTTGACCCGCCCGTTCATGACCTGCGTCTTCAGTTTTCTGTCCCTGTTTCCTCTGGCCCTTATGCAGCCATTGTAGAGTCTGTTGGGAAGAAACCATACATTCAGAAAGTAAGCTAGTAACACTTGATTGATTTTCTCCTCTAGTTCAGCTAATGATTGAAATTTGGCTTTTTCTTTTTCTTTTCATTTTTGAGGCAAAGTCTCACTCTGTCATCCTGGCTGGAGTGCAGTGGCACCATCTTGGCTCACTGCAGTCTCTGCCTCCTGGGTTCAAGTGATTCTCAAGTCTCAGCCTCCCAGGTAGCTGAGACCACAGGCATATGCCTCCATGCCCAGCTAATTTTTGTATTTTTAGTAGAGACAGGGTTTTGCCATGTTGGCCAGGCTGGTCTCAAACTCCTGACCTCAAGTGATCTGCCCACCTCGGCCTCCCAAAGTGCTGGGATTACAGGTGCGAGCCATCATGTCTGGCCTTTTCTTTTCTTTTTGTTATATCACCAGATAAGACCAGAATTGTCATTAAGAAACTAACTCCACAATTGCCAACCTCTAAAGAAATAGAACCCCAAGGACAGCCATCAACAATGGGTACAGCCTGGCATCCTAACCACAGGGCAGCTTTGAGTGGCAGCAGGGCCATTGCACAGGGAAGAAAAACACAGAAGAGAGACTTCATAGATGTATCAGTCAGGTGCAGCCTGGCATCCTAACCACAGGGCAGCTTTGAGTGGCAGCAGGGCCATTGCACAGGGAAGAAAAACACAGAAGAGAGGCTTGATAGATGTATCAGTCAGGCAACATAGATCCCTCCACTGTTAGGAAGAGAAGCGTAAGAAATTAGGTAAAATCATTAGTGACAGCCAGCATCTTGTTACAAATCTGAGAGTTCATGTAGACCAGATGTCTAATGAATGTGGTGAGTGTAGCAGATGTTTCAAACTAAGAGCAGTCCTTCACCACCATCAGAGAATATGGGGAGAAACCATACTCATGTAGGAGGTGGACAAGCTTTTAGTCAGAACACCCACCTTCTTTTTTTGTTTTTTGAGATGGAGTCTCGCTCGGTCGCCCAGGCTGAAGTACAGTGGTGTGATCTTGGCTCACTGCAACCTCTTCCTCCAGGGTTCAAGCGATTCTTCTGCCTCAGCTTCCCGAGTAGCTGGAATTACAGACACATGCCATCATGCCTGGCTAATTTTCATAATTTTTGTAGAGACGGGTTTTCGGCATGTTGGCCAGGCTGGTCTTGAACTCCTGACCTCAAGGGATTGGCCTGCCTCTGCCTCCCAAAGTGCTGGGGTTACAGGCATGAAACACCCCGCCTGGCCAGAACCCTCACCTTCTTCAGCATCAGAAAACTTCATGGTGAGGCAGGTGTATAAATGGATGAAGTGTGGAAAAAACTTAAGCTCCAAGATTACCATCACTGTATTTTGATTCATTCTGTACCATAAACAAACATTCAGAAGTCACTTGTTCAAGGCTGGGCACAGTGGCTCATGCCTGTAATCCCAGCACTTTGGGAGGCTGAGGCGGGTGGATCACTTGAGGTCAGGAATTCAAGACCAGGCTGGCCAATATGATGAAACCCCATCTCCACTAAAAATACAAAAATTAGCCAGGTATGATAGCGGGTGCCTGTTCCCAGCTACTCCAGCGGCTGAGACAGGAGAATCGCTTCAACCCACAGGTGGAGATTCCAGTGAGCCAAGACCACACCATTGCACTCCAGCCTGGGTGACAGAATGAGACTCTGTCTCAACAAAAAATGACACTTGTTCAAGAGTAGGGCTGTCCACAGTTAGACCTTGCTAAGGAATGACTGTTCTTTGTCTCAACTCCGAATTACAGTGAGAGAGTGTGGTCTGGTCCCATTCAGATCATATATTCATTTTTGATTAATACAACTATGGGCAGGGGAGCAGGATAACACGGTATTTACGTGGCTATCTGGGACTCACAGCTGTTGGTGAGGAGGGCAGTCAAAGGGGCTGTTATGTACTGATAGATATTCTGCAAAGAATGTACCATGTTGGGCATACACTTCTTAGACTAAGTTCATTTCCCTCCACACTCCATACCAGAGGCTGTTAACCCAACTGCCCATTAGAACCACTTGGGGTGTTGTGTTTTTGTTTTTGTTTTTTAATACCAATGCCTAGCTGAATCCTAGACCAATTACTTCAGAACCTCTGGGAGTAGGTCCCAGGTATTAGTAGTTTTTTTAACTCCCTAAGATGGTTCTACAAAGAACCAAATTTTTTTTTTTTTTTTTTTTTTTTTTTTTGAGACAGAGTCTTGCTCTGTCACCCAGGCTGGAGTGCAGTGATGCGATCTCAGTTCACTGCAACCTCTGCCTCCCAGGTTCAAGCAATTTTCCTGCCTCGCTGGGATCACAGGCATGCACCACCATGCCCAGATAAATTTTTTTGTATTTTTAGTAGAGACAAGGGTTTCACCATGTTGGCTAGGCTGGTCTCGAACTCCTGACCTCAGGTGATCCACCTGCCTCAGCCTTCCAGAGTGCTGGGATTACTGGTGTGAGCCACTGCACCCAGCCAAAGAACCACTTTTTTAGAGCTTTGCTACTCAAATTGTCACCTGAAGACTGGCAGCATTGGCATCACCTGGGAGATTATCAGAACTACAAGCTCATGGAAATGAAACTCTACTCTTTGACAGTGCCACCAGGTGACTTTGTGGGCGCACTAAGGTTTGAGAAGCATTGCTCCAGACCCGGGTCCATGTATGTGTCTTGGCATCTAATGTTGCCAAGAAGTTTGAGGCAACCTGATTTTGCTTCCTTTTTAGTGTGGAAATTTGCAGAACTTTAAATCTTCAAGTTTAGTAATTTCACTAGGCTATGTCTTGTTGCTTGTTCTTCCCCATTAATATTTCCTCGAATTTAGTGAGCCCTTTCAGACCGCAGACTCTCCTCCCTGATGAATGGCTTTTCCTTCAAGTTTGTCCCATCAGGATTAGAACGAGGGTTAGATTTAAGGACACAACCATTTTAAGAGTATGTTGTCTTTCCAGTATGTATTTTTTTTTAATTGAGGTGTCACTGACATACAATAAACCATGCATAAAGTGTATAATTTGATGTTTTGCCATATGTATGCACCTCTCAAACAATAACACAATCAAGATAACAAACATAATCATATCCCAAAAAGTTCCTTACGCCCTTTTATAATCTCTCCATCGCAGCCTGCTCTTTTCCTGCCCCCAGCCCCAAAAAACCACCTGTTTCTTGTACTATAGTTTTCTTTTGCTAGAATTTTATATAAGTGCTATAACACAGTATACACTCTTTTAAAAGTTACTTATTTTTTTTGGTGTGATGTCCTCCACTCAACAGAATTATTTTAAGATTCACTGATGTTGCATATATATCAGTAATTCATTCCTTTTTATTACTCATTAGTATTCCACTGTATGGATGTACCACAATTTATTTATCCATTCACCAGCTGATGGCCATTTGAGTTGTTTCTAGTTTTTGGCTATTATAAATAAAGCTCTTATGAAACTTTGTGTGCAAGTCTTTGCAATGTAAGGACATACGTTTTCATTTCTCTTGGGTAAATAATGAGTGAAATGGCTAGATAATAAGGCAGGTATATGTTTAAGTTTTAAAGAATCTGCTGAGTTTTTTCAGAGACTGCCATTGTACCTTTCCATCAGTGTTGTATGAGTTCTACTTCTGATTACATCTTTGTCTGCACTTGATGTTTTCTCTACTTTTAGCTATTCTAATAAGTGTGTAATACTGTTTCATTGTGGTTTTAATTTGCATTTCTCTAGTGACTAACGATGTTGAGCATCTTTTCAAATATTTAATTGATTTCCATATATCTTCTTTGGTGAAGTAGCTTTCAAATCTTTTGCCTATTTTTAAAAGTTGGTTTCTTTCCTTATGAGTGAATTTTGAGAGTCCTTATATATTTTGGAAACAAGTCTTTTATCAAATATTTTCAGTATTTTCTCCCAGTCTGTGGCTTGTCTTTTCATTCTCTTAAAAGTATCTTCTGAAAAGCAGAAGATTTAACTTTTAAGTCCAATTTATCAGCTTTTTTTCCTCTGGCTAATAGTGTTTAGAATTTGTGGTGTATATATAAGTATGTTTATGTGCACCCACATATGTATGTTCGTTCATGGTAAACGTTCATTTCAGTAGGTTTAATGAAGGAGCAGTATGTAAAATGTATGTCCGTGTCATGCCATTGTTGCTGGAAATCTAATTGTTTAAAACTATTGCTGTGCATAAACTTTCCAGTGAAAATACTATGGATTTCATAAAATGAACTGTTTCTGTGACAGGTAAAATCTTGGTGCTAGGTACCCCACAGTAGCCCCCAATGATTCTCGTATCCTGGCATTCAAGCCCTTGTTTATCTCATCCCACACTGAATCATGACTAATTTCTGAGGAGAAAGCATTGAGGAAATGATGGTGCATGACTTCCAAAACTAGGTCATAAAAGCTCTGGCTTGGCCTCTTGGCTTGCTCACTTTGGGAGAAAGCTACATGCCATGTTGTGAAAACACTTGCCTGAGAAGGAACCGAGGCACCACACCCAGCGCCAACGCGCCAGCCACGTGAGTAAACCACCTTGGAGGTGGATCTTCTGAACTCAGCGAAGCTTCAGGTAACTTCAGCCGCACATGACACCTGACTGAGCAGAGACCTCAGCCAGTCCCACCTAGCCAAGCCGCTCTCGAATTCTGTGTCCACAGAAACTGTGAAAGATAAACATGTTTATTATTTTTAGCCACAAATAATACTAGAGTGGTTTATTATGCAGCAATAGATACATAATATACTCTCCACGGCAGGACTTGTGTTGCAGCTGGTGGATAAATCTAATTCTGGCAGAAGGAATAACTAAAATCTGTCTCCAGGCTGAGCCAGGACACACATCGGAGTATAGGGCAGGAAAGGGCTCTAAGGCCAAATGTTAATAGCTCTTTCCCTAAACTTCAAACATGGTCTAGTAAAACAAAAAAGCTATTTCCCTGAAGCATGCCACATTCTGGAGTCCCAGCATCACTTATTTTGTGTCTTCAAAAGCAAATAACACAATTGGAAAACAAAACAATACGATCTCACCAGTACTACTTATGTGCCAGGCACAACTGTAAATAACTTGCCTCTCAGTTAACTCATGTAATGAATGAAACCTGAACAGCCTTTTCAGGTTGGTACTACCATCATACCCATTTAACAGTGAAGGGAACGGGGGCAAAGAAACTTGCAGCTGGTTTTCTGGACCTAGTAGTCCATACACAGTGGGCCTTCTGAGTGATGGGCCCGACTTTTCCCACGCTCGCTCTTCCCACTGCAGCGCAGCCACAGAATCCGGACAGCTCTGGTGCACGTGGAGGGAGCAGTGGTCCCTTCATTACCTGGAAGGACACCCAGAGTGGCACATGCCAGATAACCACGAATAATACCCAAGATAATAACCATTCTGTGGCCTGAGCTGGCCGGACGTCATGCCCCAAAGGAGCTACCAGGAGTGGGCACTGCAGAACCCCTGCCCGGGACCGCCTACTCTGCCCGGTATTGTCTCGGAGTAGAGACACTGGCAGTGCCGGCGGCGGTAGGGAACCACAGAGACCGCAATTTCCCAGGTTCCTAGAGAGGAGGGGTATGGAAAACGCACTTCCGGCGGAGGGCCCAGGCTCCCCGGGTGCCGGCGGCAGGTGGCGTTCCCACGCTCTCTGTGCCTGCTCCGCGTGGGGTTCGCGGTCCGAGCGGAAGAGGCTCGCGGGCCGTGTAACTGATTGCTTTCTCTGGGGCGGGTTCTGCCGGGTTTTCCAACAACTCCTGTGCTTTTGGGGTGAAGGGGTGGCAGAACGGAGAGGGGCCCAAGTCGCACAGAGCGCATTTGCCGGGTGCGAGGCAGCGTCAGTCTCACCGGCGCTTTATTTTCTTTGTCACTTCTCCGACCCCAGAGGCAGTGTGTGAAGCTGGGACTCCAGCCATGCCCCAGACCGCGTGGCGCCAGGTGAGTGAGCATCCTCTCCCTCCCTGCCACCCCTTTGATGTCGAGAGAGAGCAGGTGTCACCTCTGCGTTCAGATCTTCAGTTGTGTAGGCCAGTGGCTTCCATTGTGCATCTGTCACTATGAGAGCGATGGAGAGGCGAGAATGCTCAAATTAAGACTAGAAAACTAGGGGGTGTGTGTGTGTGTGTGTGTGTGTGTGTGGAAATTTGCGTTATTACATTCAGTAAAGACCCTTTCACTCCTATCCGCAGGCTTGGAGAAGTGTTTACATCTCCAGTAAAGCAATTCCAGTAACTGTTTTGTAGATTCTGTTAGATTTTCTACATAGGGCATCCATGAGTAAAGATAGTTTTACTCCTTTCTTTCCAGTCTGGATGCCTTTTATTTGTCTTGCCTCCCTGCACTGGCTAGAAGCATCATTCAATACTGGAACAGAAGTGGTGAGAGCAAATAACTTTTAAAAATGAAAGCATTCAATCTTTCACCCTGAAGACTGATGTTTACTGTAGGTTTCTTGTTTTGTTTTGTTTTTGTTTGTTTGTTTGTTTGTTTGTTTTTGGTAAATGCCCTTTATCAGGTGGAGGACATTCCCTTCTATTCCTAATTTGGTGAGAGTTTTTGTAGGAATGGATATTGGATTTTGACAAATGCTTTTTCTGTGTCTTTTTAGATAATCATACGGTTTTTCTCTTAGTTTGTTAATGTGGTGAATTATATCATTTTTCTTTCAAATATCAAACCAACTCTGCGTTGAGATAAAACCAACTTCGTCATGATGTGTTAGTCTATGAGTAGTATATGTTGAATTTGATTTGTTAATATTTTATTTAGAATTTTTGCATCTGTGTTTATGAGGTATTGATTTGCAGTTTTCTTTTCTTGTAATGTCTTTGTTGCATAGAATGATAAATATTCCCTCCTCTTTAATATTTTGGAAGAATTTATATAGAGTTGATTACATGTATTCCTTAAATGTTTGGTAGAATTCACCAGTGAAGCTATCTAGGGATGGAGTTTTCTTTCTGATAAGATTTGTAAGTACCATTTTGGGTCCTTTGGTAGTGGCTACTTTGGCTATCTATCTATTTTTATTTACTTATTTATCTTTTGGAACGATTTTCTCTGTGTTGCCCAGGCTGGCTTCAAATTCCTGGGCTCAAGTGATCCTTCCCACTCAGCCTCCCAGGTGTCTGGGACTACAGACATGCATCACTGTGTTCATCTTGAAGGAGTTTTGGGAACTTGTACCTTAAGGAACTTACACATTTTATCTAAGTTGTAGAAATTACTCATGTAAAGTTGCATGTAATATGTCCTTATCTTTTATTATCTACAGTGATGTCACTTCTTTTATTACTAATATTGGTGTTTTGTGTATTCTCTCTTTTTTTCTGGTCAGTCTGGCTAGAGGTTTATAAATTCTATTGATTTGTCTTTAAGAAATAGCTTCTGGTTTCATTACTTTTCTGTTTTATTAGTTTTCTCTTTGATCTTTATTGCCTTTGTTACACTTATTTTGTGTTAAATTTGCTATTTTTTTTTTTTTTTTTAGTTTTTAGGGGGAAGCTGAAGTCACAGATTTGAGACCTTTCTTCTTCTTTTGTTTTGTAAAATGAGCATTTAGTTCTATAAATTTCCTCCCAAGTACCGCATTAGCATTATTAGCATTATCCCACAAATTCTAGTACATGTTGTTTATATTTTCATTCTTAAAAATACTTCATATATTCTCTTATGGAAATGTGTTCCTGAGTTTCCAAATCTTTGGGTATTTTCCAGGAGTCTTTCTATTGTATCAAATTTAATTGCATTATAGTCAGAAAACATACTTTGTTTGACTTAAATCATTTTGATTTTATTGAGCTTTCTTTTATGGCCCAGAATATGGGCTATCTACCTATCTACATTGTCTTACATGAATTTAGCCACTACAGGTTTGTTTGTTTTTTTTTTTAAATTCTGTCTCCCAGGCTGAGTGCAGTGGTGCAGTCACAGCTCACACCCACTGCAACCTCGTCCTCCTGGGCTCAAGTGATCCTCCCACCTCAGCCTCCCAAGGAGTTGAGACTACGTTACAGACCACTGTGCTTGGCTAACTTACTTTTCCTAGAGACAAGGTCCCACTGTGTTGCCCAGGCTGGTCTCAAACTCCTGAATGCAAGCCATTCTCCTGCCTCCACCTCCCAAAGTGCTGGGATTACAGGCATGAGCCACCATGCCTGGCCTTAGAGTTTTCTTTTGACTAATATTGTCATGGTATATCTTTTCCTATCCTTTTGCTTTTAATTTATCCCTGTCTTTATATTTAATGTGCATTTCTTGAAGGTGACAGATAGTAGGTTCTTATTTTTTAAAAAATCCAATATGACAGTGTTTGAGATGTTAATTTACATTTGATGCAATTATTGATGTGGCTAGATTTGAGCCTATCCTCTTTCTACTTGTTTTCTAATGGTCCCGTGTGTTCTTTTTTTCCCTTTTATCCTTTTTTCCCATTTTCTTTCTTTCTTTTTTTTTTTCTTTTGTTTGAGACAGTCACTCTGTCACCCAGGATGGAGTACAATAGCGTGATCTCCGCTCATTGCAATTTCCAACTCCTGGATTCAAGCAGTTCTTATGCCTCAGCCTCCCACGTAGCTGGGAGTATAGGCATGTCCCATGATGCCCGGCAAATTTTTTGTATTTTTAGTGGAGATGGGATGTCACCATGTTGGTCAGGCTGGTCTCGAACTCTTGGCCTCAAGTGATCTGCCCACCTTAGGCCTCTCAAAAGTTGTGAGCCACTGGGGCCTGTCTCTTTTTTTTTCCATTTTCCATAGGATTAATGGGGTGTAAATATCAGGCATTGTTCTTTTCAGTCTTTCCAAATGATACTTTCTCTGGCCTTGGTTAGTTTTCTCACACCTATGTGCTGATCTGTATTTGTTGAATACTCTGAAGGGATCTTCTGCAGATAATTGCGATTCCATCTCTATGCAGCCCTCTCCTCTCTGGCATTCTGTCCTATAAGCTCAAGCTGCCTTGGTCTCTTCGAACTCTACCAGGAAATCTGCCAGGTTCTAACTCGGTTCCCTTTTCCTGTGTTGCAGCCTGGAAACTTCTCAAGGTAGTAGCCTAGGGAATTAGAGGGTTCACCTCTTTTTTTCCCTGTTTCTCAGGGATTGTTGTTTTTTGCATGATATCTTGAAAATCATTGTTTTATATAAATTGTCTGGTTATTTTGTTTCAGGCAGGAGGGAAAATCCAGCCCCCTTATCTAGATTCCATCTAGATAAGAACTGGAAGTTTTCCCTTAGTGTGTTTTTGTTTTGAGACAGCCCCACTGTCACCCAGGCTGGAGTACAGTAGCGCGATCACAGCTCACTGCAGCCTCAACCTCCCTAGCCTCAGCTGATCCTCCCACCTTAGCCTCCTGAGTAGCTGGGAGCACCCTCTTACATGGCTAATTTTTGTATTTTTTTTTGTAGAGATGGTGTTTCACCATATTGCCCAGGCTGGTTTCAAATTTCTGACCTAAGGTTTCAAATTTCTGCCCACCTTGGCCTCCCAAGTTTCTGGGATTACAGGGGTGAGCCACTACACCTGGCCTGAATTTTCAAAAACATTACCCTTTTCCTTTTGCTGTGTAATCTGTTGCCATCCCATCTTCCCAGTCTTCATGTGTGTGTTGTTTTTCCTTCTCTGAAAGCCTGCAGGATGTTTGTATTTTCTTTTCTGAGACTTCTCAGTTACATGGCTTTGTGTAGATAGCTCTCATTCATTGTCCTAAGTACTTGGTTGGGCCTTCCTTCTCTATGTTGCTTTTAAGCAGACATAATATTTTACTAAGTTATGAAGAACAACGCACATTTACAAAACCCTTAGCTCATCCTTGGTTCTGTGGTTTGAAGTGGGCCTTCTCTTCTGCCAGAAGTTGAGTTTCATCTTTGTCTACTTTTCTTTTCTTTTTTTTTTTTGAAACGGAGTTTCACTCTTGTTACCCGGGCTGGAGTGCAATGGCACGATCTCGGCTCACCGCAACCTCCGCCTCCTGGGTTCAGGCAATTTTCCTGCCTCAGCCTCCTGAGTAGCTGGGATTACAGGCACGTGCCACCATGCCCAGCTAAATTTTTTGTATTTTTAGTAGAGGCGGGGTTTCACCATGTTGACCGGGATGGTCTCGATCTCTTGACCTCGTGATCCACCCACCTCGGCCTCCCAAAGTGCTGGGATTACAGGCTTGAGCCACCGCGCCCGGCCCTTTGTCTACTTTCTAATATATTTATCATTCATTCTTTTTCTGCCTTCTACAATTCTGTTTATATCTCTAGTTGGCTTTGACCCTTTTCTATCTCTCTTTTTTCTTCCTTTTTTTTTTTTGAGACAGGGTCTCACTCTGTCACCCAGGCTGGAGTACAGTGGTGCAATCATAGTTTACTGCAGCCTCAACCTCCCCAAGCTCGGGTGATCCTCCCATCTCAGCCTCCCAGGTAGCTGGGACTACACGCGTGCACTACCACACCTGGCAAATGTTTGTATATTTTGTAGAGATGGGGTTTCACCCTGTTGGCCACGTGGCCAGGCTGGTCTCAAGCCATCCACCTGTCTTGCCCTCCCAAAGTGCTAGGGTTGCAGGGCTGAGTCACTGTGCCTGGCCTGCTTTGACTCTTCTCTTAGGCTGCTGTGTTACTGTCACTTTAGTGGGGTCAGGAAGACAGTGGAGATCAGATCAGTATGAAAGTGTTATTCACTGTGTTTTTACAGATGTCCCCTGTGCATGTGCACACAAAACTCACACTGGGAAAAGGAGCCCAGAGGAACAGATGGGCACACAGAACAGGGCACAGTGGAGGCAAGCAGAAATCAGCAGATGAAAATAGAGCTGTTTGCTGGGTATGCCCACAAAGGGGTGCAGTGACCTTTTGGTTCCCCTGTTGGTGCCAGCACAGAGAGCTGCGGGTGGGCTCTGGTGGAGTGCTGGGTCACTGTTCTTGGCAATACCACTAGACCCAGTAGGTCTCTGCCCCACTACTTAGCCTGGCCCTCTGACCCAGGGTTTGAGCAGGAACCTGTTGTTTTAGGAACCAGTGACCTTTGAGGACGTGGCTGTGTACTTCACCCAGAATGAATGGACCAGCCTGGACCCTGCGCAGAGGGCCCTGTACAGGGAGGTGATGCTGAAGAATTATGCAAATATGGCTTCCCTGGGTAAGACTTCTCTTTTTATTTTTGGTCTCTGCCCTTTGAGCATCTTGGCTTTTTTATTCCTTAGAACTTTGTGGGGTATCTTTTTTTTGCGGGGGAGGGGGCGGCCAAGAGTCTTGCTCTGTCACTCAGGCTGGAGTGCAGTGGCATGATCTCGACTCACTGCAGCCTCCACCTCCCAGGTTCAAGTGATTCTTCTGCCTCAGTCTCCCAAGTAGCTGGGATTACAGGTGGGTACCACCTCACTTGGCTAATTTTTATATTTTTCGTAGAGACAGCTTCTCCATGTTGGCCAGGCTGGTCTCAAACTCCTGGCCTCAAGTGATCCTCCTGCCTCACCATCCCAAAGTGTGGGATTACAGGCATGAGCCACCGCTCCTGGCCCAGTAATTTTGTGGGGTTTCTAATAACTCCCTGTTGCCCTGAAGGCCGAGCTGCACGGAGGTTACTGGGTGGAGAGAGCTCTGTGTTCCCAAGTTGTGAAATCGGCTGTCCCTCCAACCCTGAGAGAGACTGTACCCCAAACATGGGACAGAAAGGAGCTCTTAGAAGTACAGCAAAGCCCCCTGTGTCTGTCTTCCAAGTTCTCTGAGGAAAACTTGAGATTCCCCTATGTAAGCGCGGGATTATTCTGGGACTCTGCCCGCTCTGTGGGAAACTTCTGTCCTCCAGCAGCATAGATTCAGTTTCTCCCGGCCTCACAAGTCTCCCACTACTTGGCTCAGCAGAGACAGATAAAGGGGGATGTGAGAGGACCCTGCTTTCTGATCCCGTGACCTTTTCCTGTTTCTTTCTACCTGGGCAGCATTTCCATTCACCACACCTGTTCTGGTCTCCCAGCTGGAGCAAGGGGAGCGGCCATGGGGCCTCGATCCCTGGGAACCTGTGGGCAGGGAGGCTCGCAGAGGTGTCTGTTCAGGTGAGCATGAGAACCCACTAGCTGCCTTTTTTGCTTGGCTTGCTTTCTTGTTTTCACATTTCATTGTGCAAGAAGCGTTTCTTCTCTTGGGAGACTGTTTCTGTTCCTGTGGAATCATTGCATGTGATTCTCTGAGTTCGTGGTGGTAGCCTACCTCAACTGGGGAAGGGCCAGTCTCTTTTGAGCCGGGAATGCTGTAAGATTCCTTTGCCTGTTCAGCTTTGCCTCTCCTCCTCACAACCTCCCAAGGGAGACTGTCTGACTGGGCAGGACTTACACCAGCTCATTTCTTCTCTGTCACATGAAAACATTTTATTTTTCTGCCAGTTTGGTTTTGCAAATATGAGGATGTCAGCCACCTTTAGAGGAAAATAGGCTTCTGGCAGCCTGTCTGGCCATCTGCATATCATAGGGTTCATTGTTTAAGCACCGACTTAGATAATAATAATTTTATTTTTATAATGAAGATATAAAACTGTATGCAAACAGCAGCATAATGTTCTCCATGTGCCCCTCATCCAGCCTCAACAGTCACCAATGTCCTTTCATTCTTATTTCATCTTCCCCCAGAGACACGTAAAAAACTTCTGAAGCAAAATTTATTGTAAATTAAAGGTGGATAACTTCCTCATGTTGATGGCTATTGATATAAGACTTAAAAATAGGGGGGACACGGTGACTCACAACTGTAATCTCAACACTTTGGGAGGCTGATGCAGGTGGATCACTTGAGGCCAGGCTGATACAGGTGTTCGAGACCAGCTTGGCCAACATGGTGAAACCCCACCTCTACTAAAAAAAAACAAAACATAGGGCTGGGTGCAGTGGCATATGCCTGTAATCCCAGCACTTTGGGAGGCCGAGGTGGGTGGATCACCTGAGATCAGGAGTTCGAGACCAGACTGGCTAACATGGTGAAACCCCGTCTCTACTAAAAATACAGAGTATTAGCACAGACGTAGTGGCACATGCCTGAAATCCTAGCTACTCAGGAGGCTGAGGCAGGAGAATCACTTGAACCTGAGGGCGGAGTTAGCAGTGAGCTAGGATTGCACCACTGCACTCCAGCCTGAGCGACGGAATGAGATTCTGCCTCAAAAAGAAAAGAAAAAGAAAGAAAATAAAAAATTAGCTGGGTGTGGTGGTGTGAGCCTGTATTCCCAGCTATTCGGCAGATGGAGGCATGAGAATAGCTCGAACCAGGAGGTGGAGGTTGCTGTGAGCTGAGATTGTGCCACCGCATTCCAGCCTGGGTGACGTGGCGAGACTCTATTTCAAAAATAAATAAATAAAAATAACAACATAGTGTATTTTTAAATCTTTTTTTTTTTATTTTATTTTTTTTTATTTTTATTTTTAAAGACGGGGTTTCACCATGTTGGTCAGGCTGGTCTTCAACTCCCAACCTCAGGTGATCCGCCCGCCTTGGCCTCCAAAGTGCTTGGATTACAGGTGTGAGCCACCATGCCCGGCCCATATTTTTAAATCTTTCTTATTCTGCTTCACCCCTTCTCTGCCAGTGAAAATTTTTTGTGCTCTTCTGCAGAGAATGCCTGTTACTGATGCAGTCCAGGTCTTGATTGAAAGCTGAACCTTTCTGGATGTGACCTCGGTACCCTAGGTCATCTGAGTAGAAATGTTTTCTGAACAATTTTGTGTGAACACATGCAGGCTGAAGATTTTATTAGTCTGCAAAAGGTTTTGATAGTGGAGAGACTATTTCTCTCTGGTTTTCCCTTATGATCGTGTGAGTTTAGTAGTTCACATCTCAAATTGTTGTATTAAACAAATGCACAATCTATGGGACCTTTTTAGGAAAAATGGCAAGCATCATTACCGGGCCTTCTTTGGGACCTACGTTCATTCCTGGAGGAATTCTTCGTGTGTCCAGTGCTCTTTGGTTTTAAAGGCAAGCCTCCGAGCCTTCCTTTCTCCTGGATGCTGTGGTGGTGGCCAGGCATGGCGTCCTCAGCCACTGCCTGGGAGCTGCTGCTTTCCTAGAGCCGGCCTGATGGTAGAGATGAGCTCTGTTTTCATGACGATGACGTGGGTGGTGTCTCCTCACAAGCATCTCTTAGGGAGTCTCAGCCTGTGGGACTGCGGGAGTGCCCGAGCTGCTCCGGCCCTTCTCTAATCTCGGCAGCCCGCCTCTCACTCAGGGGTTTCCATCTGTTAAGTCTCCACGTTTGTCTTTCTCCACCCCATTCACTTTCCTCTTAGTCTTTCTGCCCTCATGAACAGTCTTTGCAGGGTTCGGGTTTTCACACTGCTGGTGGGAATGCCTCCTGGCCTTGCTGCCTCCCTCTCCTAGAGTCTTCTTGTCCCTCGTGAGGCTCTGGTGTGTTGTGATTTAGGCAGCCATCTTGTGAGCATATGAGGAAATATCCATATACTCAGGGCAAATTAGAACCACTTGATTCTGTTTCCTCTTCAGCACAGATTGTGTGTGTGTGTGTGTGTGTGTGTGTGTGTGTGTGTGTGTGATCAGGGACTGACACTTGTATTTTTTTTTTGGTGATGGGGATGAGAGGAGAACTGAGAAGGAAGGATTAACTCCAAAGGAGCACATGTCCAAAGAAACACAGTCCTTCAGACTGACGGTGGCGGGGCTGCCGGGGACTGTTTCCCCGCCCTTTAACTTTGGGAGCGGCTGAGAGCAGCCCCAAGGTCACTGGATAATTAAGACAAAGTCAAAGAGGAGACATTTCACAGATACCTCAGCCAGGCACCATGAGGCCTCTGTGGTCAAGAATGGAGAGAAGTTTGAGAAATTAGGAAAAAATATCAGTGTCAGCACACAATCCACTATGGAGAAGACAGTTCCTAGTGGTCAGATAGCTTATGAATGTGGGAAATGTGGTAGACATTTCATTCGAACGGCAGACTTCCACCGACATCAGAAATGTCACACTGGTGAAAGGTCTTTTGAATGCAAAGAATGTGGAAAAGACTTCAGATATAATTCATTACTTATTCAGCATCAGATAATTCACACTGGCAAGAAACCATTTAAATGTAAAGAATGTGGAAAAGGTTTAAGTTCAGACCCAGCCTTGATTCAGCATCAGAGAATCCACACTGGAGAAAAGCCCTATGAATGTCAGGAGTGCGGCAAGGCCTTCAGTAGCAGCCTGGTCTTCCTCCAGCACCAGAAGTTCCACACTGGGGAGAAGCTCTACGAGTGTAATGAATGTTGGAAAACTTTCAGTTGCAGCTCGAGTTTCACTGTCCATCAGCGAATGCACACTGGGGAGAAGCCGTATGAATGTAAAGAGTGTGGAAAACGATTAAGCTCAAACACAGCCTTGACTCAGCACCAGCGAATTCACACAGGGGAGAAGCCCTTTGAATGTAAGGAGTGTGGGAAGGCGTTCAATCAGAAAATAACCCTGGTTCAGCACCAGCCAGTTCACACTGGTGAGAAACCTTATGAGTGTAAAGTGTGTGGTAAAACCTTCAGCTGGTGTGGAAGATTCATTCTGAATCAGAAACTACACGCTCAGAAGACACGTATCCAAGCATAGGGCTATCTATAGTTAGGCACACTGTGTCTCTCCTTTTTTCTCTTTATTTTTTTTTGAGACAGAGTCTTGCACTTTCGCCAGGCTGGAGTGCTGTGGCGCATTCTTGGCTCACTGCAACCTCCGTCTCCCAGGTTCAAGTGATTGCCCTTCCTCAGCCTCCTGAGTAGCTGGGACTGCAGGCTCGAACCATCTTGCCTGGCTAATTTTTTGTATTTTAGTAGAGATCAGGCTTCACCATGTTTGCCAGGATAGTCTTGACTGACCTTGTGATCCACCCACCTTGGCCTCCCAAAGTGCTGGGATTACAGGCGGGAGCCACAGCGCCCAGCTGTTTTCTCTTTAGTTTCATGCTCTTTACCAGTGTCCCCACCGCCTTTCCTGGGTAGACACGTGGCTTCCATCCTGAAATCTTCTTCAAGTTTTCTGAACCCGTTTCTCCAACATAAAGTCTCTTTATGATTAAAGAAGACAAAGCCGGGCGCGGTGGCTCAAGCCTGTAATCCCAGCACTTTGGGAGGCCGAGGCAGGTGGATCACGAGGTCGAGAGATCGAGACCAACCTGGTCAACATGGTGAAACCCCGTCTCTACTAAAAATACAAAAAATTAGCTGGGTATGGTGGCGCGTGCCTGTAATCCCAGCTACTCAGGAGGCTGAGGCAGGAGAATTGCCTGAACCCAGGAGACAGAGGTTGCGGTGAGCCGAGATCGCGCCATTGCACTCCAGCCTGGGTAACAAGAGCGAAACTCCGTCTCAAAAAAAAAAAAAAACAAACACAAACAAAACCCAAACTCAGAAACATAAAAGGAAATGTAAGTTTCCAGATTTAAAGGATATGCTGGGTGGCCAGCGAGATGGATTCAGGGGAAACTTACATTAAGGAAAGTTGCTGTGAATTATGAAAACACCAAGTGTGAAGAAGAGGATCATGGAGAAAAAAATGAGACCCTAAAGAGTTTCTAGAGAAGGCAAACAAAAGATCAGAAATGAAAATGGCATCAGATTTCTCAACAGCAACCTTGAAAGTCAGATGACAGGCAATGTGTATGCCTTCAGACTTGTGATGGAAAATATTTTCCCCTGCAATTCTATACTCTGAAGTCTTAAGTATAGAGTGAAGGCATCTGAGACCCTTTAGATCTAAACCCTTTATCTCCCGTGCATCCTCTCTCACATGTGCAACAGTACACAAGGAGTAAACCAGTCAATAAAAAGAGATATGTGGATACCCTATTACAGTCCATATATCAGAAGTCTCCTAAATTCGAAAACAGAGGGGTCTGTCCATGTGGAGCCATATGCGTCACGGAAGACATTCCTAGCAGGGTGCAAAGTTCCAGAGACCTACCTCAGGTGCAGCGTCCACCCACCCGACTTACTCTGCAGTTTGTCTTCAGTAGTGAGTTGTAGTCTGCGCCTTTGCAAAAGTCAGGATGTATGCACTCTGAGCCAGGTGTAAGGCACCATTTGTCTTAAATGTACTCTTCTCATTGCTCTTTCAAGTGACCTCAAAGCAGGAAGCTTTTCTTGCAACTGCATCTAGTTATTTTTTATGATCATGGAAGAACCTATCATTATTGCTGTTGTCTGTGGAAATGAGAAAATATGTAAAGGTATTAGGTTTTGGCATCCCCTCCAGCTGTGAGCTAACCATGCACTAGTTTCCTTATCTGTAAAATAAGGATGACAGTTCATCTACCTCACTGGTTTTTTGTGTGTGTGTTGGGAATTAAGTGCATTAATACTTGTAGAACGCTTCAAACAGTAACTATATATAATAAAAGTATTACCTATTATTGGCTGGGCGTGGTGGCTCAGGCCTGTAATTCCAGCACTTTGGGAGGCTGAGGCAGGTGGATCATGAGGTCAGGAGATCAAGACTATCCTGGCTAATACGGTGAAACCCATCCCTACTAAAAATACAAAAATGAGCTGGGTGTGGTGGTGCGCACCTGTAGTCCTGTACTCGGGAGGCTGAGGCAGGAGAATGGCTTGAACCCAGGAGGTGGAGGTTGCAGTGAGCTGAGATCGCACCAATGCACTCTAGCCTGGGTGACAAAGCAAAACTCCATCTCAAAAGGAGAGAAAAGGGTATTACCTATTATAATCCTATTGATAAGTTTTGGCTTATCAATATACCAGTGAAACAGTTACCACAGTCAAGATGATAAACAGCCACCAACCCAAAACTTTGCTTGTGCCCCTCCATAATCCCTTCCTCTTGGCCCTTCTCAGGCAACCACTGGTTACTTTCTGTCACATGGATTAATTTTCATTTATTTTTTGGTCTGGTGTCTTTCACTCGGCATAATTACTTTGAGATTCACACATGTTGCGTATATATAGTTCATTCTTTTATTGCTGAGTAGTATTCCACTGTATGGATATGCCATAATTTGTTTATTCATTGACCTATTGAAGGCCATTTGGGTTGTTTCCAGTTTTGGGCTATTACAAATAAAGCAGCTATGAATATTTGTGTCCGTGTCTTTGTAAGAATATATGCTTGCTTTTGTCTGGATACCAGGAGTGCAATGGATAGGTCATTCAGTAGATTTGCGTATATCAAACGTTTACACTTTTACTGCGTTTCTGTTTTTTAGAGGTGAGGTGGTTCTTGCTTTGTTGCCCAGACTGGACTCAAACCCCTGGGCTCAGGGTATCCTGCCTCAGCCCTCCCGTCCCACTCTAAGTAGCTGGCACTACAGGTGTGCGCCACGATGCCCTATTTTACTTCTCGAGAATCTTCAAAACCGTTTTACCAAAGAGGTTGTGCCATTGTACATTTCCACTTGCATTGTATGAGAATTGTCCTTCCGATACATGAGTGCCTGCACTTGATGTCAGTTTTCAATATTTTAGCTATTCTAATTGTTAAATGCTATCCCATTGTGGGTTTAATTTGTATTTTTCTAATGAATAATGTGCTGCTTTGTGTTCCTGTTGTCCAGGCTGGAGTGCAGTGGCACCGACTTGGCTTACTGCAACCTCTGCCTCCCAGGTTCAGGTGATTCTCCCACCTCAGCCTCCTGAGTGGCTGGGATTACAGGTGTGCGTCATGACAGTGTCTTTTAAAGAGCAGAAGACATGAGTAGGCATGAAATCCAAATTATCAATTTATTTATTTTTCAATAGAGATGGGGTCTCACTATGTTGCACAGGCTGGCTTTGAACTCCTGGGCTCAAGCGAAAAGTGCTGAAGTTACAGGCGTGAGCCACCCTGCCTAGCCTGCTTTTTTAATGGATCATGGTTTCAGTGTCAAATCTAAGACATTTTACTTTACCCAAATTTGCAATTTTTTTTCCTGTTTTCCTTTTAGAAGTTTTATAGTTTTCCTTTGTTTTGTTTTTTTTTTTTAACAGAGTCTCACTCCGTTGCCCAGGCTTGAGTGCAGTGGTGCAATATAGTGCAACTCTGGAGGTTGCTCACTGCAACCTCTACCTCTCAGGTTCAAGTGATTCTCCTGCCTCAGCCTCCTGAGTAGCTGGGATGACAGGCGCATGTCACCACACATGGCTAATTTTTGCATTTTTAGTAGAGTTGGGTTTTCACCATGTTGGCCAGGCTGGTCTCGAACTCCTGACCTCAAGTGATCTGCCTGCCTTGCCTCCCAAAGTGCTGGGATTACAGGCATGAGCCACCATGCCTGGCCGGAAGTATTATACTTTTAGGTTTTACATTTAATTCTGTCATCTGTTGAGTTAATTTTTGTCTGAGGCATGGATCTAAATTTTTTTTTCTTCATATAAGTATCCTATTGTAGCACTATTTTTTCTTTTTTAAGAGATGGGGCTCACTATGTTGCTGAAGTGCATTGCTATTCACAGGCATGATTACAGTGTACTGTGCCCTTGAATTCCTGATCTCAAATAATCCTCCTGCCTCAGCCTCTGGAGTAGCTGGCACTACATGTCTGTGCCACTGATGTCTGGCCTATAACACCATTTTTTGAAATAGTTATTCCACTAAATTGCCTTTGTATCATTGTTGTGAATGAGATGTCCATATATGTGTGGGTCTATTTCTAGATTCTCTTCTGTTCCATTGATCTGTATGTCTGTCTCGATGCCATTAAGGCACTGCCCTAATTACTGCAGTTATCTAATAAGGGTTGAAGTCATATAGTGTTAGCTCTCCAACTTTGTTCTTTGTCAGAGTGTTTTGGCCGTTAGAGGCCTTTTGCATTTCCGTTTGAATTTTAGAATCAGTTTTTCCATTTCTAAAAAACACCTCCAGGGAGGTTTTTGTTTTGTTTTGAGTCTCGCTCTGTTGCCAGGTTGGAGTGCAGTGGCACCGTCTCAGCTCAGTACAACCTCTGCCTCCTGGGTCAAGTGATTCTCCTGCCTCAGCCTCCCAAGTAGCTGGAATTACAGGCGCATGCCACCACACCCAGCGAGTTTTTGTATTTTTAGTAGAGACGGTGTTTCACCATGTTGGCCAGGATGGTCTCAAATCTCTTGACCTCATAATCCACCTACCTTGGCCTCCCAAAGTGCTGGGATTACAGCTGTGAGCCACTGTGCCCAGCAATCTCCTGGAATTTGATTGGGCTTGCGTGAATATAAAGATTGATTTCTGGAGCATTGACAACTAGTGTTTTGACCCATGGACATGGTAGATCTCCCCACTTATTTAGATACTTAGTAATTTCTCTCAGCAATGTTTTGTAATTTTTACTGTGCAGATCTTTCACACTTTTCCTCAGATGCATCTAAAAATTTCATATTTTTGATGCCATACTTAATAATTTATACTTGTAGTAATAAACATTACATGTCCAGTTCTTTGCTGACATATAAAAACATAATTGGTGGCAGGGCGCGGTGGCTCACACCTGTAATTCCAGCACTTCGGGAGGCCGTGGTGGCTCGATCACGAGGTCAGGAGTTCGAGACTAACCTGACCAACATGCTGAAACCCCATCTCTACTGAAAATACAGAAATTAGACCATAAGGGATTGTCCAGATCTTTATTTGTGGAGATATGAGACATAACACATTTCAACCAGTGTTAACATTTAAGTTATTTAAGTCCCAATTACTGAGCAGAAAAATAGTTCTAACTACGAATTTGTGTAATTGATTGGAAAAAGCTCAATATGAGGCATTTAGGGTGTCCTGCCAAAGTCAACACAGGACAAGACCATTTAACACAGGACATGTCCTGTGTATAGAGGATGCCTGCAGCCACCGGTGTTCTGGTTGCTGAATCAATGTGTCCTAAAAGGCTCCACACACATCTGGGTCCTTGGAAGGGAGAGGGCTGAAAGGGCGAGTGGAAACCCCGGTTTCCCTGGGGACGGCGCCGCTGAGGTCCCGAGCAGGATCCTGGGCCTGGGCCTCCTCGAGATGACACGGCAGGCGCTGTTCTCCCGCCACCCCCAGCGCCCAGGCTCCAGGTGAGCCGCGGGGTGAAGGCGGCCGAAGCTGAGGCTCAGCCCGGGAACTGGGGCCCCACTCGTGCGGAGAGGCCGAGGTCTGGGCAGAGCCAGGCGGCAGCGGCCGGTGACACACCCCAGGCAGCAGGGCAGAGAGCGCCTCAATTCCGCGCGCGCCGCGCAGCGCTCGGCCCCGCGGTCGCCAAACCTGGTCTCTTCCGCAGGGCGGGGCCTGCCGCGGGGCGACCGAGACGGCGGCCTCCGGGGCCCTAGAGCGGCCCGGGAGGGGGGGGAGTCGGGGGCGCGCTCGCCCTTCCGGCCAGTTCTTCCGTTAGCTGGCAGGTCCGGTGTTTAGCAGAGCGAGGGGTTCAGCCGGTTCACGTGCCAGGTCCACCCGGCGCCGGCTTCCTCGCCGCACCCCTTCCCCCGCATCGCGGGCATCCGCGCCTCGCCGAGGCCGCCCAGGTGTCTGCGCGGGCTTCCAGAGCCCGGGTCCAGCCATTCGCCGCCGAGACCTGAGCCTCTTTTCTGCCCTAAGGAACTTGTCCCGACAGCCTCTCGCTCCCGGTACTGACGTCTCTGATGTTTGGGGTCGCCTGCTTTCTTGGGGGACCTGTTACGATCCCGTGGGGTGGGGTCTCCGGGCGGCAGCACCTCCTGGGACGCCGAGTCCTTCACCCTCGTCCGCATTCGGCCGCCCGGTCCGTCCTCGGAGGCCGGTTCGGGGACCGTCAGCGTCCGTGTCAGCGTTCCGCGGAGACGCTGCGTCTGCGGCCCGACCCCGTCGGCACGGGGCTCTGCTCGGGGCCCTCGAAGCTCCTGGGACGGCGCCGGCCGTGGAAGGGCGCCCCGGGGAACAGGCAGGACAGTCCTGAGAAGGTTGGGGTGCTCGGCGTGAGAACAAGCAGAGGGAGCCCGAGCGCGATATCCGTGCGCCCGGCGCCGCGCAGGTGGAAGCCGGGAGGGCCACGGGTGCGCTGCCGGCGCTGCGCGGGTCCTTGGCACTCACGGCTCTTTCTGTCTTAGTTCCTGAGGATCTTGCTTGTCCGAACCCAGAAGACAGTGCACGAAGCCGGGGGAGATCGCCATGCTCCAAACAACTTGGCCTCAGGTGAGCTGAGCTGCTTTCCTCTTTTTTTTTTTTTAAACTCACATTATCTGTCAGATAACAGGAAAGGATGAGGAAGGCCTCACTTGGCTCGGCTATGTTTTCTTCTTTGTATCCATCCCTAGTGCTATGGCAGGTGGAAATACGTGCTGGGGGAATTAAAAGTTTTGTGTGTAGAGAGTGGTGAGTTTGGATGTATAGATTTAAATGGAAGAAAGGGGACCCATGCCAAGAAATTCTTTGTGAATGTGGAAGTCCAGATTATGTTCTGTAAACGAGAGTCACCTGCTGAAATTGGAATTTTTTTTTTTTTTTTTTTTTTTTTTTTTTGAGAGAGCGTCTTGCTCTGTTGCCCAGGCTTGGGTGCAGTGGCATTATGATCTTGGCTCACTCGCTGCAGCCTCTGCCTCCCGGGTTCAAATGATTCTCATGCCTCAGCCTCCTGAGTAGCTGAGTAGGTGTGTGCTGCCAGGCACGGCTGATTTTTGTATTTTTAGAGACAGGGTTTACCCCATGTTGGCCAGGCTGGTCTCAAACTCCTGAGTTAAGGTAATCCACTGACTTCAGGCTTCCAAAGTGCTGGGATTACAGGCATGAGCCTCTGCTCCAGGCCTGAAATAAGAAATTCTTTATTGGAGAGGTTGCTCCACAAATGTGTTCCAGAGAGACTAGTATTGTTATTTTAATCTACATTTTGTAAACGCAGACACAAGGACTCTGACATTGGAGAGAAAGCTGGATGTTCTCTACTAACAGGAAGGGGTCAGAGAAAGTGGTTCAATATGAGATGGAAGAAGTGGATAACGGTGTTATAGGTCTCGGTGAGGACAGTGGTTTCTGTTCTGGTTCACTGGGAAGGCATTGAAGAATTTTAAGCAGGGGGATGACGTGGTTGGATTTCTATATTAAAAAGATGTTTTCCAGCCTTTAGTGGCAAATTGGCTGTAGCAAGGCGTGGATCAATTAAGAGGATATTGCAGTCAGGTAAGATGTTAAGTGTTGTCCATTTTAAAATTTAATTAATTTATTTATACTTTTTATTTTCTAGAGCAGTTTTAGGTTCACAGCAAAATTAAAAGGAAGGTGCAGAGATTTTCCATGTATTCCCTGCCCCTACACATGCAAATTCAAGTTCTGATAGAAGTTCAAATACAAGTCTGGTATCAGCCCAGTACCATGTTAAAGTCTTTAAAAGAATAGAAATGCTTTTTTTCTTTCCTTATTCTCTGATGTGCCCTAAGTAGCCTATGAGGTTTGATTGAGACATAACTTACCCCTGAAACAATGTAACACTGGTACTTAAAACAGTTCATTTTTTAGAGCAGTTTTAGATGCTAACAAAATTGGGCAGAGAGTAGAGTTCCTCCGTATCTTCTGCCACCCCAAAACACACAACCTCCTTCATCATTAACACTCCACAGCAGAGAAACACGCTTGTTACGGGGAATGAACCTATGCTGACACATGATTGTCATCCAATGTCAATAGTTGACTTTAGGGTTCACTCTTGATGGGTGACATGTATCCACCAGTATATTATGATGCAGAATAGCCTCACTGCCCTACAAATCCCTTATGCTCTTCTTATCCGTCCTTACTTGCCCCTTCGTCCCATCCTAGGTGACAACCATCAGTTGATGTTTGCACTCTCTCCATAGTTTTGACATTTCCAGAATGTCATACAGCTGGAATTACACAGTTATGCAGCATTTTCAGATTGGCTTCTTTCACTTAGTGATAATGCATTTCGTTTCCTCTATGTCATGGCTTGGCCGATCATTTTGTTTTAGTGCTGAATAATATTCCATTGTCTGTATATGCTATAGTTTATCCATTCACCTACTGAAGGATATCTTGGTTGCTTCCAAGTTTTGGCAATAATGAATAAAGCCCCTATAAATGTCCACGTGCAGGTTTTTGGGTGGACATAAGTTTTCAGCTCCTTTAATGAAGTACCAAGGAGCCATTAATGTTGGATTGTATGGTAAGAGTATGAAATGGACAAACTCTTCCAAAGTGACTGTCCCATTTGGCATTCATTCATTCCTACCAGCAACGAATGCGAGTTCCTGTTTGTTTCACATCCTGGCCAGTGTTTTGGGTTTTGGCCTTTCTAATAGGTGTGTAGTGGTGTCTCATTGTTTTTATTCCCTAGGGACGTATAATCTGGAGCATCGTTTCATATGCCTATTTGCTATCTGTATATTTGCTTTGTTGAGGTGTCTGTAGAGGTCTTTTGCCTGTTTTTTATTCGGCTTGTTCATAAAGAGTTCTTCGTATATTTCAGATAATATTGCTTTATCAGATATGTCTCCTGCAAATACTTTCTCCCAGACTTTAGCGTGTCTTCTATTTTCTTAATCTTTTATCCTTTTAAAATACAACCTAATTTGCCCTCATTTTTTTCTTTCAATTTTTTTCCCCCGAAACATTGTTAGCTAGTTTTTCACACACGCTTTTTTAGATGACTTTAAATGATCTCCCACTTCTGCACACATTTCATGGATATTTTTGGTAGGAGAGTGGATTTTATTGAATTCACGGGTAAATTTGGAGATAACTGACTTTGTTACAAGTTTGAGTCTTCCCATCCAGAAGCACTTTATGTTCCCATTTATTCAGTTCTTTTTAAATGTATCTTAGTGAACATTTAGTGTTCTTCCATCATTTTCTCACCGATTTCTCTTTGGTCCATTGTTAGCAATTTTTTGTGTGAAAGGCATCATAGTTCCTTTCAGTGTATTTTCCAGTTGTTTATGATGGTACTTAGGAAAGCTAATAATTCTGGTTTACTTACTCTATATCTAGATAACTTAGTGAATTGTTTTATCAGCTCTGTAAATGTTTTGAGTTTATTTTCATGGTTCTTAGATATCTTTAGGCAGGTAGTTATTTCATCTGCAAGCAAAGATATTTATGTTCATTTCCTTCCTATATTTATGCTCCTTTTCCCATCTTTTTTAAAAGCAGAACCTCACCTTGTGGCAAATTGTCAACTATCAACTTTAATGGATTTGCTCTGGCATTTTACTCTTTAGGTGGTGTTTGCTGTTGGTTTCTTACTCTCTTCATAAGTTAAAAAAATTATATTTATGGTTAAACCATTTTTGAAATCAGTTCACTAAGGAAATGTATCTTAAGCATCTAGTACATATCAGGCACTGTACTGTGTGCTAAACCAATCATGAGCAAACAGTTCTTGCCTCACGGAGTTGCACCCTGGTTGGGGAAGATAGATAGTAAACCACATCATGTGACGTGATGAATAACACTGTGGAGAAAAAGAAAACAAGGCGAGGTACATCAGGACCAACCACAGGAGGAACAAAAAGATATCCCAAACCTGGCTGCCTTCAAACAAGGTTTTTTCTTTGATATTAGGCACTTTCTAGGGCTCATGAAACTTGAGGATAGTAGACGGCAGGAGAGACAGACAATTTATGGAAGAAGAGCTGATGGATGTGGGCTGCTTCAGGGCCGTGAGGAGTCAGAATGTAGAATGTGACATGCAAGAGTTAGGAGCTTGGCGATGCCCCTGTGGTAGGTATTTTCATTTTCAGCTTCTGCAGAGAACAAATCTGACTGCACGGGGTAATGAGACTCTCCTGGGAGGTGGAGTTATCAGTGGGAGCATCAAGATGAGAAGGCATACAGTTCATGAGACCGCCTCCAAGCTGAGAGCCTAGTCTCCGTAGTGTGCCCTATGCTGACTCTAGAAGCAGAGAAAGGCTGGGTGCAGTGGCTCAAGGCCTGTAATCCCAGGACTTTGGCATCCACTTTCGGATGGATCACCTGAGGTCAGGAGATCGCGACCAGCCTGGCCAACATGGTGAAACCCCGTCTCTACGAAAAATACAAAAATTAGCCTGGCGTGGTGGTGTGTGTAAGATTTATTGCCGATGTAAAATGAGGAAACTGAGGCAAGTATGAGCAAATGAGAAGCTAATTTATTCAGCTCCTGGGCGAGGTTCTGTGGTCCAGGAAGGGGTCAACGAAGTCGAGCCCGGCTGTTTATGTCTTCTGTTTTGTTTTGTTTTGTTTTGTTTTGTTTTGTTTTGTTTTTGAGACGGAGTTTTGCTCTTGTTACCCAGGCTGGGGTGTAATGGCGTGATCTCGGCTCACCACAACCTCCGCCTCCTGGGTTCAGGCAATTCTCCTGCCTCAGCCTCCTGAGTAGATGGGACTACAGGCACGCACCACCATGCCCAGCTAATTTTTTGTATTTTTTAGTAGAGACGGGGTTTCACCATGTTGACCAGGATGGTCTCGAACTCTTGACCTCGTGATCCACCGGCCTCGGCCTCCCAAAGTGCTGGGATTACAGGCTTGAGCCACCGCGCCGGGCTATGTCATGGGGTTTTATCGGGAGGGAAGGGGCTTGATTGGCTATTGGGGAAACAAACAAAGGCAATTTTATTGGCTATCAGGAAGCAGGAAGTACCTCAAACTAGTTGTCATTGGTAGGCGGGCAGGACATTGGGTAAGTGGGCGTTGATTGGGTGTTGGGGAAACAAAGTGAAGGCAGTCTTATTGGCTATTAAGAAGCAGGAAATGCCTGGAGCTAGTGGTCATGGGTAGGCGGCTGGGACCTTTGGTTAGTGGGCCTTCCAGCGGCATACAGAGCAGACTGCTACTGGGTAGGGTCTGATGGGTCTTCCTTAAAAAATTTTCCTGCAGCGTTTATCAACAGCAGGCTGAGGGTTGAATGCATAATTTAGTGCTGAATGTGCGCTTGGGTCTGGTATGTGGAGGTGGGTGTGGGAAGCCATGCAGTGAGGCCAGATAATGGGCTTGGGTCTTGGATGGTGACGCGGTTATCAGGAGCGGAGAGGGATGTGTGCGTTCAACCCTCTATGAGGCAGCCAGTCTTATAGTGTGTGCCTGTTATCCCAGCTTGAACTTGGAAGGCCTTGCTTGTAGTGAGCTAAGATTGTACTACTGCACTCCAGGCTGCCTGGGTGACAGAGCAAGACTCCATCTCAAAAAAATAAAATAAAATAACCAACCCGAAAGCCTCGTGCATAGGGCTAATCGACAAGTATAGTTGTCTTCATTCTTGGGAAGATAGAGGTGGCCCAGGGGAGGGAGTCAGAGAGAGGAACGCCTAGTGAAGAGACAGTCGTTGTAGATGGGCCGGAGCTCAGAAAATTGGGGGACAGGTCTGTGCCCAGGAACTTGGCACTGCCAGCCTATCTTTGAAGACTGATGATTCAGAGAAGAGGGTCAAAACAGGATGACTAAAGGTTTCTTTCAAGAGAGCCAGCTTTCTGATAGGCAGAAAGCAAGTGCAGGAAGCAGATGAGTCTGTACGTGTGCACCTCGGATGTGTGTATACAGGGTGGATTCAGAGATGCCAGGTGCAGGGAGCAGACGGGGCCGTGCGTGTGCGCTTTGGATGCGTGGATACAGGGTGCATGAGTCCATTTTCATGCTGCTGATAAAGACATACCCGGAGAGTGGGAAGAAAGTGGTTTAATTGTACTTATGGTTTCACATGGCTGGGGAGGCCTCAGATTCATGCCGGGAGGCCACAGGCCCTTCTCACATGGTTGCAGCAAGGGAAAAACGAAAGAGCTCGTGCAGGGGAACTCTTTTTAAAACCACGAGATCTCCTGAGACTTATTCACTATCATGAAAACAGCACGGGAAAAACTTGCCCCCATGATCCAATGACCTCCCACCAGGTGCCTCCCACAACACGTGGGAATTCTAGATGAGGTGTGGGTGGGGACACAGCCAAACCATATCACAGGGTGAGTCGCAGCTGTTGGTAGTGATTGGGGTATAGAAAATAAGGACACAGGAGTATGGAGTACATGAGGGTAGGAGGTGCCAGGGGACAGATCTGTGAAGCCAGGAACCTGGGAGATGATGCAGATGCCAGGGAGAAAGCACCTGGATGCCAGGCTATAAGAAGCAGTAGCAGTTAGGGGCTCCAGAGCTGAGCAGATAGGAGAGCGCTGGGGCTCCCCATGTGCAAGTGGAACTGCCGGCTGAGGGCTCGCCCTGTCTGTGTGCCGGCTGCTCTTGCTTGAGAGGCTGCACCTCTGGGGCCGCTCCGTGGGCTGAGTTCAATGTGGACTCAGGCAGGTTTATCTCTTCCCTGAAGCTCAGGCTGCTCCCTTCTCCCTTCTGCTTCTCACACAGAGACTGAGCAGAAACCTGTGGTTTCAGGAGTCAGTGGCCTTTGAGGACGTGGCTGTGTACTTCACCCAGAACCAATGGGCCAGCCTCGACCCTGCGCAGAGGGCTCTGTACAGGGAGGTGATGCTGGAGAATTATGCCAATGTGGCTTCCCTGGGTAAGGCCTCCCTCTGTGGCCGGCTGTAACAGTTTGCTATCTTTCTTAGATATTTTGGGGATTCTGGTAGCCCCAGGGTTTGATGACTTCAGAGGAGAGTTTTGCAATCACCAGCCTCCAGAAATACTGGGTAGGGAAATTCTTGCCTCTTTTTTTTTTTTTTGAGACAAGTCTCACTCTGTCACCTTGGCTGGATGGCAGTGGCACAGCCATGGCTCACTGTGGCCTCAAACTCCTGGGGCTCAAGCAGTTCTCCTGCTTTGTCCCCCCACATAGCTGGGACTATAGGCATGTGCCACTGTGCCTGGTTTCTTTTTGGTTTTGAACACTAGACTTCCTTATACTCCAGGGAACAGTGTGGTTCTGGGCCCTGAGGGAACGTGTTCTTTTTTTTTTTTTTTTTTTAAGGTGGAGTTTCGCTCTTGTTTCCCAGGCTGGAGTACAATGAATGGCATGATGTCGGCTCACTGCAACCTCCTTCTCAGGGGTTTCGGGCGATTTTCCTGCCTCAGCCTCACGTGAAGCTGGGATTACAGGCCTCTGCCACCACGCCTGGGTAATTTTTTATATTTTTAATAGAGATGCGCTTTCTCCATGTTGGTCAGGCTGGTCTCGAACCCCAACCTCAGGTGATCCGCCTGCCTTGGCCTCCGAAAGTGCTGGGATTACAGGCGTGAGCCACTGCACCTGGTCGGGAAAGCATTCTGTCTGGCACCCTAGGTAAGCCCTTTGTTCCTTCATCCATCCCATTTTCTGGCGATGTTGAACTTCCGTTTGTGGAAGAGTCTCCCCAGGGAGCAGCACATACCTAGTTCCTGACAGAGTTTCCCTTCTTGAGTCAGGGCCAGCTTGCAGCTTCTTTCGGAGGAGAATCGTACCTCCTCGGCTTAATTGTGGAGCACAGTCTGGACCTCCCTGTGGAACTCTCACTTGGTCTGTGGTGGTCCATTTCTCTCCCAGGTGACCTGACGGAGGGTGGGCTGAGAGAGATCCCAGGAGCAGCTCTAGATGTCTCCCCTCAATTTGTCTTTCTCTTTTTCTTCCTGAAGTCGCGTTTCCATTCCCCAAACCTGCTCTGATCTCCCACCTGGAGAACGGGGAAGCACCATGGGGACCGGATCCCTGGGATGCCGAGATTCCGAGTGGCATCAGTCAGGGTGAGTGTGAGAATCCAGGGCTGCAGTTTCTTGCTTTGCCTCCCTGCTTTACCAGGAGAAGCGTTCTGTCTGCCTCCGGGAACAGGGCTCCCAGTCATTTACAAGTTGATGCTCACTGCACTCTGACCTGACGCTGAGTTCTGACCCTGAGCTTCGAAAGACCACCTGTAGGAGTCCATGGCCTCATGTCATCTGCACATTCATGTGGCTGTCCTCCCAGGCAGAAAAACTGACCCCGTAGCTACTAAACCACTCTTTCTTACTTAGCAATGGAAAAGTTCTATTTGTATGCCACTTTTCATTGCAAAGAAGTGGGGTTTCAGGCAGCTTTAAAGAAAATATGATTTTGGGGGCCCAACTGATTTATTTGTGCTATAGCTGTGAATTTTACTTTCGGCCTTCAGCCCTAAAAGACTGGCTTTAATTTGCCTTTTCATTTTTTTATTTTTATTTTTTTTTTGTGAGACGGAGTTTCGCTCTTGTTACCCCCGCTGGAGTGCAATGGCGCAATCTCGGCTCACCGCAACCTCCACCTCCTCGGTTCAGGCAATTCTCCTGCCTCAGCCTCCTGAGTAGCTGGGATTACAGGCACGCGCCACCATGCCCAACTAATTTTTTGTATTTTTAGTAGAGACGGGGTTTCAGGATGGTCTCAATCTCTTGACCTCATGATCCACTCGCCTCGGCCTCCCAAAGTGCTGGGATTACAGGCTTGAGCCACCGCACCCGGCCTAATTTGCCTTTTTAGTATCTAAATCACTTAAGAGTTTCATTTGCTGTAATCTTTGTTATCTACGTTATATTTACCATAGGTGGGACTATAGAGGAAAGGGCTAGAAATATTCTCCCATCATAACCCCCTACACACATACACACACACACACATACACACACACACACACACACACACACACACACACTCGCATCCACACGTCAAGGGCTAGGAATAATCTCCCATCATAGCCCCCTACACACACACACACACACACACACGCACACACACAGTAAAGGGCTAGGAATATTCTCCCATCATAATCTGCACGCATGCACGCGTGCGCGCGCACACACACACACACACAGATGAAAGGGCTAGGAATATTCTCCCATTATAACCCGCACACAGCCCGCGCGCGCCCGAACCGGCTAGGAATATTCTCCCATCATAACCCCCTACACACACACACGCACACATGCACACACGTCAAGGGCTAGGAATATTCTTTCATAGCCCACTACACACACACGAACACACACAAAGGGCTAGGAATATTCTTCCATCATAGCCCCCTACACACACACACACACGAATCTGCACACACCACCTAAAATATCCCTGAGATGGCTAACCAGCCCTGGAAGGTTTTGGTTACTTCTGTCTCCTTTCTTTCCAGAGGAGAGTTTTCAAGCCTTGTCACACATACATGCTTTTGTATTCAGTGGTTCCTTTAGCACTGGTACCACAGTGGCTTACTGTTCTGATCCAACTTCTGTTACAGCTGACTTTCTGAAAGTCATCATCTTGAGACGGAGTTTCCCTTTTGTCACCCAGGCTGGAGTGCAATGTTGTGATCTTGGCTCACCACAAACTCTGCCTCCGGATTCAAGCGATTCTCGTGTCTCAGCCTCCCAAGTAGCTGGGATTACAGGCATGCACCACCATGCCAACTAATTTTTTTGTATTTTTAGTATAGATGGGGTTTCACCATGTGGCTCAGGCTGGTCTTGAACTCCCGACCTCAGGTGATTTGCCCGCCTCGGCCTCCCAAAGTGTTGGGATTACAGGCGTGAGCCACTGTGCCCAGCAGTAATCGTCTTGTATCTCAGAATATTGTGTGGGATATATAAATCTAGGCTAATTAGAACATCGTTTAGAATCTGATGTGATTTCCTGGGTTACAGGTAGGGGATTGGGATCGATTTTTTCCTGGTTTGTGTTTCTCTACAAGGCCTCTTGTAGTGCTGGAGCTGCTTCTCTGTTCTCCCCAGTCCCTCATTCCTTTTTCCTCTTCTGGGTTTCTGTCCCTCATGTTCCCATTTCTTGCTGTTCTTTCTTACTCTCTTCTCTTTTTTTTCTCCCTCATGCCTTCTTTCCTTCCCATTCTTGATTCTCCTTCCCATTTCACTTACCTTAGTTCATTTTCCAGCCTTTCTCATTGGGAGCACTTCCTGGCTGTCTTTCCTGTTCTGTTTTGTGTCTTTACCTCTCCAATTGTATGTCATTATTTTTCTGGGGTTTTTTTTTGAGACAGGATCTGGCTCTACTGCCCAGGCTGGAGTGAGGTGGCATGATGTGCACTCACTGCAACCTCTGCCTCCTGGGCCCAAGTGATCCTCCCGCCTCAGCCTCCCAAGTAGTTAGGACCACAGGTGTGCGCCACCACGCTCGGCTACGTTTTGTATTTTTTGTAGAGACAGTGTTTCACCACGTTGCCCAGGCTGGTCTTGAACTCCTGAGCTCACCTGCCAGCCTCAGCCTCCCAGAGTGCTGGCGTTGCAGGTGTGAGCCACCACAGCTGGCATGCTGTTCTTTTTCTTTGTCTGTCTCATCCTCCTTTAAAGATGCTTGTGTGTAACCATGTCACATGGATATCTGTAACAGTTGCCTTCTACAGGAGACAATTAGGACCACTGGATTCTACTTTTCTTCCAGTTTTGTAACTAGGGACACTTGTGGTTTCTTTGGTCAGGTGATGAGTCCTGCATCAAAAATGAAGGGCCAGTTATAAAGCAGGAAGCCTCTGAAGAAACAGAGTTGCACAGAATGCCAGTGGGAGGACTTCTCAGGAACGTTTCTCAGCACTTTGATTTTAAAAGTAAAGCCATGAAGCAGACTTTCAGTCTAAATCCAAATCTGATACTTCGAGGTGGAATGAAGTTCTATGAATGTAAAGAGTGTGGGAAAATCTTCCGATACAACTCAAAGCTTATTCGGCATCAGATGAGTCATACTGGGGAAAAGCCCTTTAAGTGTAAGGAATGTGGCAAACCTTTCAAGTCCATCTACGTCTGTATTGAACATGAGAAAAACCACATTGGAGAAAGGCGCTTTGAATGTAAGGAGTGCGGCAAAGGTTTGAGTTCCAGCAGAGTCTTGACTCAGCATCAGAGGATCCACACTGGAGAGAAACCCTATGAATGTAAAGAGTGTGGAAAGGCCTTCAGGAGGAGAGGGGCGTACCTTCAGCATCAGAGATTACACACGGGGGAGAAACTCTATAAATGTAAGGAATGCTGGAAAGATTTTGTTTGCAGGTCACTTTTTATTGTCCATCAGAGAATTCATACTGGGGAGAAACCTTACCAATGTAAGGAGTGTGGCAAAGCCTTCACTCAGAAAAAAGGCTTCATTCAGCATCAGAGAGTGCACACTGGGGAGAAGCCTTATGAATGTAAGGTGTGTGGGAAAGCCTTAAAATTGTATAGGAGTTTTGTTCAGCATCAGAAATTGCACCTGAGAAATTGCAGAGAAATTGCAGAGAAGAAGCCGGTCAAGGTTCTCAGGCCATCCCTGGTCGGGCCCCAGTGCCCCTCTTCGGCCTTACTCCCTGCTCTTCTCCAGGGCTCCCACGCTGCTCCAGCCGTGGCTGTGCCTTCGCTGACCTTCCCACATGCTGTGCTCCTTCCTCCCTCTGGGAATTTGTTCATGCTGCTGCCTACATCTGGAATACCTTCTTCATCTGCCCAGATAGTACGTGTCTTCCCGGGTCTCACTCCCACTGTGAAACCCCCCCCAGTTGTTCTCACCCCTTCTTCTCACTCCTTATGAGCTTTACCTTGGCAGCCTTATGGCTCTTAGCCTAGCAAATCTCCATCCTAATTTTATTTTGTTTTTGAGACAGGCTCTCGCTCTGTCTCCCAGGCTGGAGTGTGGTGGTGGGATCTTGGCTCACTGCAACCTTGACCTCCTGGGTTCAAGTGAGTCTCCTGCCTCAGACTCCCGAGTAGCTGGGATTGCAGGCATGCATCACCATGCCTGGCTCATTTTTGTATTTTTGGAAGACAGGGGGTTTCACTGTGTTGACCAGGCTGGTCTCAAACTCCTGAACTCAAGTGATCTGCCTGCCTTGGCCTCCCAAATTGTCGGGATTACAGGAATGAGTCACTGAGCCCAGTCTACAACCTAATTTGAATTCCATTTGTATTTTTTACCTCACCTTACAAATGTTAAAGTTGTTTCAACGTGAACTCCATTATAATCTATATACAGTTGAAGACCGTGTTTATGTAATCTCTTCTGGGTGGAAAATGGAAACACTTAACTTTTGCGTTGGTCCCTTTAGGCTTGAACAGCAGTGTTAAGGAAGTTTGGAAGAGAGGCTATCCCTGTATTCAGCCACTCTGATTAGAGATAAGCAACCTGGGAGAAACAGGAGGGGCATACAAGACCTGTGGCTACTAACAGAAGTGGAATAAGCTTCCAGCAGTGGACCGTAGAGATTAATGGAGATTGTTTAGTGGGCCCGTGGCTGGATGGGGTGTTGATACAGCTGAAGTTTATGCTGCCCTTGGCACAGACCTTCGAGGATCTCAGACACCTATGCAAACGATAATGTGAAGTAAACAGTGAAAAAAGAGTGATAGCAATCTTGTCTTTAAACATGAGGGTTTTTTTTTTTCTTTAGTTTTGCTCTTGATAGCCAGAGGTTTCTTTTAACCTTTATTTCCTAAGTAAATATACACAAATGCATCTATCTTCGTTGCATCTGTTGTGATTTTTCATGATGAGCATTTTGTTTTTTTTTATTGGCAAGCACTGGCTTCTACATTTCATATTTATGAATTGTAAATATGAATTTGATGAACTACTAAAGAAATAAAAGTAATGGTGTAAAGCCAACTCAAGGGGAATCTGAATCAGCCTCCGAAATGGATTTTAGAAGTGAAGGGAGCTGTGTAGCGGGTTACTGGCTGGACTTATGTGGTAGTTTCTGACCTGGAATTCGGGGCTGCTCTTGGGTTTGGCCTTGATAAGGATCCTTTACAACTGTTCAAAGGACTGTGTGACATAGTTACTGGAAAAAGAACTTGAATTGTGCATTTTGTTGGCATTAGTGTAAACGTTAAGCCCTAAGCATGGATGGAAGGAGCCATACCTTTTTTTCTTTTGTGCTGCTGTTGCTATCTAGATGTTTCTCTATAGCAATTAATAGCAAAACCTTTACAATCTTGGTTTTTAAAGATTACCATGTGCCTGAATTACATGGTGTGCTTGTAAAAGGAAGAGTTTTCTGTCTTGCGGAAATTCTGATTTTGGATATCTGTGTATGTCTGTAAAGACCAGATCGTTAGTGTGGACCATACTTTGTGAGAGATGCTTTGAACAGAAAATGCCCATGCCTCCTTTTTTACCCAGCTTAAACTCCATAGTGAGTTCTTAAAATAATTCCTTTGTAGTCTCCCTTAACACCCTGCGGTCTCTTGCTTTGTCATGCTCGCTTGGCAAAACCTCATCTCAGACTAAACGCAATTCTTTGCCTTCTCTGTTCCTGGACCTGTGCTACCAAAAACGATCAGGAGGAAGCATACTACCTGCTGCACTGCCACTTTAAATTCATGACCAGTCATTACATGGAGGCCCTTATAGTTTCCCGATGGTCATACGACATTTTTGGAATCCACTTTACTCCTCTGCTTTCCTAGGCCACTACTTTACAGTTCCTCTCTGTCTGTTTTTGAGATGGAATTTTGCACTCAATGCCTAGGCTGGGTGCAATGATGCAATCTCGGCTCACTGCCACCGCCAACCTCCTGGTTCAAGTGATTCACCTGCCTCAGCCTCCTAAGTAGCTGGGATTACAGGCACGTGCCACCACACACAGCTAATTTTTGTAGTTTTTAGTAGAGATGGGGTTCTCCATGTTGGTCAGGGTAGTTTCGAACTCCCGACCTGAGGTGATCCACACACGTCTTCCTCCCAAAGTGCTGGGATTACAGGTGTGAGCCACCGAGCCCAGCTACTTCCTGTCTGTGTAACTTCCAAAACATCCTTCTCAGTTATGCTCGGCTGATGGTTATGTTTCTGCCCTCTGCGGGAGAACAGCAAGCTCCAGAAGGTGGCTGCGCCTTCAGCCCCGTGCCAGAATGAGAACATATGGAGCCAACTTGAGTCCAGAAGAGCTTTGGCCACATCGTCTCGCCCATCTGCTTTTCAGCTTCCAATACCTGACTTTACCACCGTATTCTCAGGCACTTCCAGTAAGCAGTGGCACTGTTTTAAGGTTCTGTCGCACTCAGTAACCCACTTCTGGTTCCTAATTCTCTGTCAGTGATCAGTAGCAGACTGCAGAATCCACCTTAGATTAATCCACCTATTAATTAGCTTACAAAATGTCTTAAGAGGAACTAAGCTGGGATGCCACATAGGCAGAGGCCAGGAAAAATGACCACAGAACCAAGTGGTTCCAGTGGAAACCCAGCATCTGCTGGTGCCTGCTACTGGACTGCCACCCCCAATGAAGAGAGAGACTGACCACCAGGAAGGTCGTTTCACATTCTATAGCAAAAATGTTCCTGCAATCACTTTGTTAGGATCTCTGTTTTCAGCTAGGGTGTACGTGCTCAGTGGGAGTTGGTTATATATGTATGTCCAAGTTGCAGGGGATTCTGGGAAATACAGTTTTTGGATTCTGCCTGGAAAGACAGTCCTAATATGGAGAAGTCTAAAAATAGGGAAGGGATTTTCAAAATATGTTTGGCATCTGTAAAATATCCGATACCCATTATAGGCATTGAGGGAGGCCTGACTGATGGAAGGATGCACTATATTCATGGTAGGAAAGATTAGTCTCACCAAGATTTCGATCTTTATCAAATGAATTTGTAAATTAAAAAGAATATCAAAATTCCAGAGGGGCGTGTGTATAGAGAGGCAGAGGGCACAGTAGCTAACCCAATTTGGAAGAACAAGGTTGGGAGTTTGATGCTACCAGATATTGTATACAGTGATCATCAAAAACAGAAGAAAGCAAAAAGCAAACTCCCCAAACCCAATCTTAAAAAAAAAAAACAACAAAACCTTACACTGTAATAGTAGTAGTATATTTTTTTTGAGATGGAGTCTTGCTGTCACCCAGACAGGAGTGCAGTGGCGTGATCTTGGCTCACTGCAACCTCTTCCTCCTGTGTTCAAGTGATTCTCGCCTCAGTCTCCTGATTAGCTGGGATTACAGGTGAGTGCCATCACGCCCAGCTAATTTTTGTATTTTTAGTAGAGACATGGTTTTGCCATGTTGGCCAGGCTAGTCTTGAGCTCCTGGCCTGAAGTGATCTGGCTGCCTCAGCCTCCCAAAGTACTGGGATTATGGGTGTGAGCCCCTGCACCTGGCTGTAACATGATTTGTTGAAATTTTAAAAAATCTAAAATAATGTACTGTTTAGGAATATATTCATTTTATACAAAATTATAGAGCAAGCATAGAGAGGCACAGCTGAGAATATGTAAAAGGTGTTTCTGTCCCCATCCTGTCTCCTTTATTCTGCTACTGCTCTCATTCTATGTCATCCCAGGGGTCCACGCCCACTTGCTGCCCGCCAGTTGTCCAACACCCTCTACCCTTGCCACCTATTTCTTGGTCTAAATCAGATGTTTGTTTCTAAAATAGAATGAATTAATAATTATCGAAGTACAGGCATACCTCATTTTATTGCACTTCGTTTTATTTTGCTTTCAGATACTACATTGCGAGGCTGCAGTGAGCTGTGATTGTGCCACTGCACTCTAGCCTGTGTGACAGAACAAAACTGAGAAAGTGCAGCAGCGTTCTTACTGATAGGGAGGAAGTTTGAGTGGTCTGGATAGCAGATCAGACCAGCCACAAATTCCCTAAAGCCAAAGCGTAATCCAGAGCAAGGCCGTACTTTCCACTGTCTGAAGGTTGAGTGAAGTGAGGAAGCTGCAGAAAAGTTTGAAGCTTTTCAAACTTTTGAGGTGGGTTCATGAGGTTTAAGAAGTTATCATACAAGTGCAAGGTGAGGCAGCAAGTGCTGGTGTAGACGCTGTAGCAATTCATCCAGGTTGAGCTAAGTTAATTGATGAAGTGGCAACACTAACCGAGATTTTCAGTGTAGACAAAGCAGCCTTCTTTTGGAAGAGGAAACCGTCTAGGGCTTTCATAGAGAAGATGCTAACGCCTGGCTTAAGAGCAGCAGAAGGCAGTTCAAGTCTCTTGTTAGGGGTTTGTGCAGCTGGTAACTTTAGACTAAAGCCAATGCTCATTTGCCGTTCAGAAAATCCTAGGGCATTTAGGAAGAAAGCTAAATTCAAGGCCATTCAAAAGTGGGTGAAAGATATTAACAGACACTTTACAAAAGAAGACATACAGGAGGCCCACAAACATATGACAAAATGCTCATTATCACTGGTCATTAGAGAAATGCAAATCAAAACCACATCTCATGCTAGTTAGAATGGCGATCATTAAAAAATCTGGAGACAACAGATGCTGGAGAGGATGTGGAGAAACAGGAACACTTTTACACTGTTGGTGGGAGTGTAAATTAGTTCAACCATTGTGGAAGACAGTGTGGCGATTCCTCAAGGACCTAGAAGTAGAAATTCCATTTGACCCAGCAATCCAGTTGCTGGGTATATATCCAAAGGATTATAAATCGTTCTCCTATAACGATACTTGCACACAAATGTTCATTGCAGCACTGTTTACAATAGCAAAGACCTGGAACCAACCCAAATACCTATTGATGATATACTGGACAGGAAAAATGTGGCACATATACACCATGGAATATTATGCAGCCATCAAAAACGGTGAGTTTGTGTCCTTTATAGGGACATGGATGAACCTGGAAACCATCATTCTCAGCAAACTGACACGAGCAGAAAAATACCGCATAT